GCCGGCGAAGCACCAGAAAAAACTCTATTAACAAAAGATTTTTTCTACAAAAAATCAAGTATCACCTCTTGGGCCCTGGAAGTACAGTTTAACCCGTTACTAATACTAATCAAATACTTCCAAATAAAAAATAAAAAACTAAAAAAAACAGGTAATTAAAAATTATTCATTCTTTAGTTATTAAGTTTTATTATACTCATAAGACATTATTCGCAATTTCGCAAAAAAAATCGCAAATCTGCAATTTAAAATGTTGTTGTTCCGCTATTGGTAAGCAGTAAGTCAGTGTATTGCAGTTCTATTTTTCCCAGTAATTTTACAACGATGCTATTCAATCAATAGACTTGCTGCCATTTCGTTTATTTTCCATTTCCCTTTTCGCTGTAAAATGTTTATTTTACCTGGTTGTGTATTTATGGTCGGTGGATATTGTTATTCGTTCTTGCTCTTTTGTTACTTTATGTAGTTGCATAGTTGTCATTGTTTATGAAAAAGAACATTGTTTATTGCAATTAATGTATATTTGGGAGTAAAATAAATATTATTATAGTATAGTGTTTGTATCTGTTCGTTCAGCTTTAAGCATGTTTAGTCCCCGTATCCCAGTAGTGTGTAGCCATTGTGGGATTTTTCTCTCTCCAGTAGTCCCATACACGTATAATATAATAGTAGTTTATGATACTGTTGCATAATAAGGGTTCTTATAACATGAGTGTGTTTTAAATAAACGAGCCGTAGGCGAGTTTTTTTATAGTATCACACGAGTGTTATAAGACCAAGTTATGTACAGTGTCATACACTACTTTATCTACTCTCATACTATAATACGTAAAACAATATTGCAAATAAAACGCTAAATATAACAACAAATTTATTTTTACTTGTAATAATTATTGATGTTCTGAATATTACAATTATGAAACTGAATTTGAACCGGACAGGAAGCGTTATTGGAGGTACTCAGAGAGGGTGTGTTAATGTTGACCTCATTTCTGTTATTTTCAATACTGTTAAGTATTGAATTGGATACAACAATCTTGTTAGTCATTGAATCATCTATATAGCCTTCTGCAACTGTCCTTGACTTCCAGCCACCGTGTCGCTTTAGTGCCGTTATATCTCCACCAGCGTCAACTAGCAAGGTCGCAGATGTTCGGCGAAAGCAGTGTCCTGTGTACAATTCGGGGTCGGTAAGTTGAAGATAGCTGGCAATAACTTTGCCTAAAGCTCCAAATTTGTTAATGCCAACTCTCTGCGTCGTGCATTTTCCGGCAATATAGTTTAGAAAAAAACTGGGATTGCTGCACTCAGTTGGTCGTAGCTTTATGTATTTTTTGCATTGTTCATAATATTTCCCAGTAACGGTAAAAGAGCGGTCCGTCTTGGTTTTAGTTTTACTTATTTTCGAAGACTTCAACATCTTTGAATTGTATGTTGTATAACTCTTGCCGTTCGCGTCGGCAAGCACCCATTATACCAAAAATTAGTGCAATCTGTAATAACTCATATATTACGGTAAATTAACTCAATATTAACAAAAAATGTACATGGTTAACTGATAAACAACTAAAATACCTTTGTGAAGAGATATAATGTGTCTGGGGCTTCATTTAAGAACTTATTTATCTGCTCTGCTGTAAAAGTCTTGGATTTTTTCCCTTTATATCCTTGTGAGTTTCGTTTCAAAAATGCAATCAGCTTGCTATATTTAGTTATGTCAGCTTCGTTGTAAATATTGAGTGTACTTTTAATCATGGAGTATTTAACTCACATACTTGACACTTCATATTTTTCAGATAACTCTTGAAAGTACGCTAACAACACATTTTCAGAAAATGATGTAGCATTTTTATTCATTTTCCATTCCATGAATTCGTGGTAACATTTATTATAGTTGCATAGTTGCTCCTAGATTTCGCCGGCAACAGGTTCATGGTCATGTTTGACGCAGCTTCCAGAATGTCTGGTGGTGTACAATCACCACTATCCTCGCTTTCAGACATGTTTTTAGACAAAAACTTATGTATTTTACAAACAAAACCAAACTTTGTTTAAATATTGAAAAGATTTTTTAAATGTCAAATGTTGGCGCCAAGGTGCAAACATCGATTGCGCATGGGTGTTGCGTCGTCGCGGACTCGTTCATTGAAATCTTTTTAAAGTAGAGGTTCAACCTCCTTGGTCCAGCTGGAGGTTGTATATGTGTATCGTTATGATTAAAAAGTTATACTATGTTACAGGTATCCATACAAGACCTGTATCGTAATTAAACTTTTTTTTTATTATTTTTGGCCTGTACGTAATGTTTGTCATAAGCATTTTGTTTTCAGTTTTAGAATCTTTATATTATAGTATCAGAGTAGATAAACATGTAAAACACTTGAAGGGCTAAATACTCATTTCATGTTATGGCCATCGCAAAAAAGGCAAATCTCGTCAATCTCTAAAATTAAGACACAATTTTTTTAACCTACTTTTTTCCCAGACTGTTAGGGTGTTTAAATGAAATATCAGTATTTTTTAGTTAGTGCTCAATTTTTATTCAGAAATTTTTTACATGTACTTGTAGTATACTATTAAATTTACTTTTAAAATCAACTGCTTGTGTATGAGCACATTCTCTGAGTCAGTCATAAATGCTGTCGTAACTTTAATTGCTTGTACTGTAAAATTTTATTAATGTGGCTTAGCATATTTTTTCCCTTAGCCCTTCATTTGTAACTCAAGAATGTGTGTGCCCTCCGAGAGGTCACAGTGGAAAACATGATATTGTAGACTTAATATACTTAACTAATTTACTACATTACTTAACTTGCTTTTAAAAAAATGTATACTACTTATATATTTTGATACTGTCAATCTATGCTGACAACCGATCAAAAAGTGTGTTTTTTTGTTACTTTAGTGTCATCATAGTAAAAACTTACTCAGATTTTAGAATTTTGTAATTTTGTATTTTTAAGAAAATAATAATTGTAATTTTTCTTCCGAGATAATTCTGAAATGTCCTGGAACTCAGGAACTGGCTTAGTTTTTTAAATAAGTTAACTCAAGCATGTAATTATATAAATAAGCTGTTGTTACCTTATAAAAAAATTGTAGTCATTACATACATTGAAAATTAAATGAAAATTGTGATCAACGGAGAAGAATCTATTATATTCATTCTTGCTTGCAGACCACCCTAATTAGATGAATGAATTTATATTTTTTATGTTTGTGTCAAATCTTAAAAAAAAATAGGCGACAGTACTTTTCAAATTTTCCGGTTCCATTTATTGACAGGATGCCAGTTGCACGGAACTACTGGGACTAATTTTATATTGCATAAATATCATGCCAGTTCTATGAAACTAATGGAAGAATAAAAATCCCAGCAATCCCATTATGGAACTAGATAATGGAACTACTAGGGTACGAGGTGTTTGGTTTGCGACTATGGGAGTTCAGCTTGTTTGACAAAGATCGCTTAGTGGATGGTGATTTACCCGTGATCAACGGTCTAACGAATGAGGTTACTGTCATTTAATTAGTACTCACTGAACGGGGGTACAGTTGACGTTGGCCACCTGCAATCGGGTAAACTATAAAATTCAAAAATTCAAAATTCAATATCGTTTATTCAGTCTAGACTGTTACAAGCACTTGTGAATGTCGAAAAGCTACAAAAGCAAATCTACTAGCGGGAGACCTTGTACTGAGAAGAACCGACAAGAAACTCAGCAAGGGCTGTTTTTTTCTCCCTGTATTGTATACAGAGTCGTCAAAATGAAAAATGACTTCAATATGAGGTAACTCATAAAGTCACTTTCCATTACAAATGCTAATATAATAAAAAATATGACTATATAAAAAACTGGTTTAACAAAGTTTAGGAATGCCGTGTCCTGCTGTTTAGGCAAAAAAAATGAACGATTAAAGTTTAGTACAACGGTTAATAGTATCCAATGAAGCAAGAGCAGACTCATCTCTGCTGGCAGCACCCGTTCACGAGCATGACGCATGAACCAGCCATCGCTTCGCTCAACCATTTTTTAGGGAACGCAACGACCCGCCTCACACGACACCACCGAAGAGATTTTTAAGAGACCATGACTACTCATAACCACACATGGATACTATGTTACAAAGATAGAAAAAAAAATATATAAGTACCAGAGTACATTATTATAACAAATTATAAACATAACGGCAGGACACATGCATGTGATTACCCAAACACTGTTGTCGATTCTGGCACTACTCTCCCAACCCAAAAACCAAATCCAACATCAGTCCCCCCCTTTCAGTCTGTATAAAGAATGACAAGGCTGCAAAACCAAGTTCAGGTCTAGAAAACCATACCAGAATCCACACCGCCATTAAATCTTTATCAGATAAATAATAAATGTTCACTTACATTTTGATTGCTACATATAGGAGTGTTTGCCATCTACTTGAGATTAAAACATCTTTAAATCTGTGAATAGCTAAGAATAGGAACTGGCATAATACCCGAGGTTTGCAAAAAACGAACACAGACGGTCGTCCGAGAAACCAACACTACTTTTACCGCCGTCATTTAGCCTCAATTAACATTATCTCCAATCGTATTAACTATTCGGACATTGGTCCCTCTAAATTACATCAAATCATGGTCCAGCAAAAAATTAAGAGTCACGGTCGACCAGTGGTATTCAATATAAAAGATCCACTTTTGTTTTTTATACATGTTGTGTGCATTGAAAAAAGTGAACTGGTTTTGTGTAATTAGCCGATGTTCTAGAACTCTGGTATCGCCGAGTAATCTTAGACATTGAGGACTTTATAAATATAAAAAGGACATTCTGGATGGATTCACAACAATTTATATTTAAAGTGAGCACAAAACAAGTTCATGCATTTTAAAATTTAATACATAATATTTTAATATATTCATAGTATATAATATTTAATATTAGACGTATAATGCTGTATAGCTATGAAGAAAAGTGACGTGTCGTTTTAATTTCTTCAACTGTTTAGTTAAGTACGAGTTCGTCGATAGGTGTTAGATGGAAGAAATCATTGACAGTATTGACCACTTCCGTGGTGATAGCTTTGATGATTGGTGGGCCGATTTCTGTAACGATTTCATTTGCACTTGCTCCAAATACATCGCGAATAGCTTGTGCTGAAAAAGATAACAAATTAATATAAACAGATATTATTAATTGTCAGCGTTTGAAAGGGAATTTCAGATAGTTCTAGTACCTTCTGGATTGGAAGAGAGAAATATAGAAAATATACACCAGAATCAGCGTCTTTGTCAAACCAATATCTGCTATGTGCACTTTTTGGGGATTTCGCCACTTTTATAATTTTGACTAGTATACTAATCGAATTTTTGAATACACAGATTGCTATGGGAATCCATAGCATAATAACGGTGAATAGAGGTTGCTTAAAAACAATTTATGTGCATCAGCCAAAATATCGTCGAATATGAACTGCAATGTCTTAAAGTTATATTTTTGGGACATACCTAGCAGATATTGTTTTGACAACTACTAAATACTTGCGTGAAATTCGTAAAATTCTGTCAGTGCAAGTGTTAAGTCAAGGTTTTAAGTTATGGGCAGACAATGGGGATGATGACTAACTTTATTTTCTTCGTCTATCTGGTAGATTGTCAAAAAGTATATTGTACGAAAAAATTACAAAAATTAAGCTTGTCAAACTTTTTTTTACCAAGGTGTGACGTCATCCAAAATTTGAAATCCATATGGGTATGGTCGCAAAAAATTGTACAAATAACATTCATGACATCGTAGCATACGTAACGTATATGACAGAACGTTACATACATGACCATCATAAAGCTTAGTTCATAATAGAACCTATTATAGTAGTTCTACTGGTACTAAATAGTTTTAGGCCTATGGTGGTGATATTATATTTTTTTGATTAACATTTGGCTTTAGATTTTTTCTTCATATAATATTCTTTGGTTAGCCCATCTTCTTTGTAGTTTTCGTACCAAGAATGTGTTTTCATGAGTTTCAGCACTAACACTTCAGTGATATTATCATTTTTCGCAGTATCTTTTGACTTCATTCTGCGACGATTTTGACTGTCTCGCCACTGTTTTCTTTTCAATCTTTTATTTTCTTCGGTACATTTCATGGTTTTCTTTCTTTTTTTATTTTTTTCTGCATTTTTTGATTTTATTTCTTCTTACTTCGAAGGATTTTGGGTTCGTAACTTTTCACGATATTTTGTTTGCCTGTCGGCATTGGTCAAAGGCATCTGGAATATTTATTTTTAACTAATTTTATCCTACTAATATTATATATGTGAAAGTTTGTATGCTCAATATAGTATACATATATTATGTGTGCCACATTTCATCAAAATCCATTCAGCCGTTTTTGCGTGATTGAGTAACGAACATATAAACATTCAAAGAATTCTCAAAAAACCAAAGTTAACTCAGACGAAGTCGCGGTAATATTATATTTTAAGTAAAATAGTGTAATCTCCGCCTTAGAATCGGTCATGATTGTAACGTTACACATTTCGTTACACATTGTAACATTCATGACACAAAAAAGCATGCGACATAAGCTAAAATTCAAATATCATTTAATTGCAAACAACTATGGATTGTGACGTAGGGTTACCGTTTTCTGCGATAATACATCTTTCTAAGCACGTTAACAGTATACCACAACAAGCAGTACTTACCTTGCAATCAAACATACAAAAAACAATATTTTTTGGCGACAAATCTGAAGTCAACACAAATTACGATTTTTATTCGGAAAAATATAGCCGATTTTTATTTCTGAATGTTGGCGTCTTGCTTAATAGTGTTGCAATTTATGAAAATGGCAAAAATTACCAAATCACATAAAGGAAACTGGTAGAAACAAACGTTACATTCATGACGTTACACACTCATCATAAAATTGGACACTTTTTTAAAAACGATTAAATATGTAACTGAAACGCTATTTTAATAAGCACGTTTAGAAACACATTGAGAAAGTATCATAAAGCATGAGTACAATTTAATAATTAGAAAAAACTATTTTTTTTCGGAGTTATTGGCAATTTTTGATACCAAGGTTGTAGTTGGACAAACGATTTTTGTATGGGAGTGAAAGCAGTACTTTTCAAATTATATTTTTTTTACATATATTTTTTAGGGATGGTAGGTTACAATTCGTCAAAATAATCTAAACAGAAGCTCGTCATTCAGAACAATGTTCAACAAATGACATTTATAAAATAACTTCGAAATTATGAGATAAATAAAATGGGGACAAAACGAAAACGATATTTGTACAATTTTTTGCGACCATACCCATATATCTCTGTAATGTATGTTTTGATTATGTGAATAGAAAAAATACGTACAGAGATAATTATATGCATTTGAAATATTGCATGACGTCAATCTTGCTAAAAAAATTAACAAGCTTGATCTTTGTAATTTTTTCGTTTATTTTTTCAAAGTCGAACTGACGGACTAAATATAATTTTGTTTACTCTATTATCACTTAATATTTCTTGGTTATAATTTATATATTACGTCCCCGAGAAATCCCAAATATACTAGTAGGAGCAACGGCAGCACTCTACCCTTTTCTCCAAATGTTCTGGATTTGAATCTGGTAAGTTCATTTATTTGTGTGATGAGCATAGGAATATTTGTTTACTTATATTTATTTTATATACGTTTTTAGTTATTATAGTACAAGCTCTGCTTAGTTTGGAAACATGTTATTCTCCAGAATATATTTATACTTTTTTTTATGAACCACCTGATGTTAAGTGACGGTGAAGTCCAGTCGTAAAGATAGCTGGTACAGCACTTCTACCTGCCACATCAGCCATGCTCACCTTACCGGCCTGCATTTTACTTCTTCTCGCCTCTTTTAAAGGATCCCAGGTTGTAAGAAGGAGGGAACACGTGAGCGGGCAGAGCATTCCATTTAGTGCTGTGCGACAGTGCGACAAAGTCACCAAATTTCTTTGTATGCGTTAGAATTGTGGCCATAGTTAGACGGTGACAACATAGCCCAACGCGCGTGGTCCTCTAAAGGAAAGGGGGAAGGTGGAATAAGAGAGAACAACTCCTCAGAATATTCGCCGTGGTACAGACGATAGAACGCGCTTAGTGAAGCCAAGTCACGGCGTAATTGAAGAGTCTCGAGGTGTTTAGTCACCACCTCATCGCCTATGATGCGGATCGCGCGCCGCTGTAACCTATTCAAAGTATCGAGCAAGTACTTAGCGGAGCCATCCTAGAGGTACGAGCAATATTCCACGCAAGACCGCATCTGCCTCTTATACAACAAGCACAGTTGCTCGGGCGTGAAAAAACGCCGCACCTTGTCCAAGACTCCGAGTCTGCGTGAGGCCGTTTACCATGCTTTCGGTGAAATTCTTTGGATTTAAGTCACAGCGAATTAATTATTTTTATTAAGATGTAGCTATGAAAGAAGTTTTTGTTTGATTATTTTTACTTATCTCATGCTTCTTGCTGCCACGCAAATGATCCTTTACAGTAAAGAACACGGTGTACCTTAATTATTTAATTAAATAGGTACCATCTTTTGACTGTAATTCAGAGTCTTTCTCTTAAATTTATCTCACTTTCGAATTTCAATAGTCTGAGTGAATTGACTTAGACATTTATATCGTTTAAAATGAAGATTGGAGTCTTACTATTCTAAACTATCTAACTAAGATGCAGCGGTATGCGCGTTTTCTAATTTACAGTATCCCAAATTTCAAACTCGTTGTGTCTTCGGAATTTAATAGGTATCGAAGTTGAGAATGTTTTTACTTGCTATTTTAGCAATGAACAAATTTAGCGAAAATATATTAATAATTTGAGGATTAAAGTACGACAGTCGTATATTATGATTGATATAATTTAATTTTACTTTTACAGTAAAGAAGTGTTTCACGTAACTTTCTAGTATAATATAATCATTTACAAGTTTTATGCTCTAATCATGTTGCTTTCAAGGTATTTACCAGGTTTACAGGTTTGTCTTTCCCTCAAACTATATTTATCCAAGTCGAAACATTCTACAGTAATAATATAAATACTTACTCCAAAGTTGGTAAATATGTACTTATATACACTTACTAAGTTCTTCGCTGCCATTGAAGAGGTTAGTGAGTTCAATATTGGCTTTTTCCTTTATAGTGTAGGAGGAGTCCCAATTCTTAATATTCCAGTATTTCTTTCCGGATTTTTCAATTTCCTCCAGGTCTGCTTCGACTGACATGAGGACTTTGGCTAAAATGAAAGAATATTTGAGAATATGTGACGATATATGTACATCTACACGAAATCTTTATTATCTTACTAGCTGACCTGACGAACTTCGTACTGCTTTCAATATATTTTTTTCCATATATTGCGACTATAAATTGAGATGTAAATTATCTTTCAAGTTGGATCAAACTGCACATGGTGTGCAATTTTGATTTAAATCGGTTAAGTAGTTTAGTAGTCCATCCCGGTCAAACAACGTGACGCGTAATTTATATATATTAGGATGATAATGACATCATCATTTCAAAAGTCAGAGGAATTGCGTCTATTCTGCTGGATGATAAGTAAATCTTTTTTAAACCTATTTTGTTACGAGGTTTTCCTCAATAGGATAGGTCAATACCTACAAAGGCAAGGACGTAAAGTACATTAAGAACACGATTTTCACAGTTTCTTATTTGGGACGGGATTACAAGTTTTTTTGCGATTTCTGAAGAGAAAAGAAGGTTCTGACAATGTACTTTGAATCAAGTCAACATCTAAAATGTTGAGATTAAAACTCTTTTTCTCAAACTTGCTTGGAAATGTGAGCATTATTTTGAAAATCTTCTTCGAGACAAATTTCTGTTAGACCAAATACATGCGAGCAGCGGCCGGAAAAAGTTGTATGAAAATCTATATTATGTCGTGTTTAGCGGCCGTGTAATTGTTTAGTCGTGTAATTTAAAAATCATCCCCACTTTACATGTAGGGGAGCTACCCCAGAAATATTGTCCAAAATTTTATTGTTCTACTTTGTCGGCGTGATTGAATATAGAATTAATAGATCTATGAAAAACTAGCCTTTTTTATTATGACACTGTAAAAAAGTATCCTGGTAGTATGACACCGTAAAAAATTATCCTGGCAGTCAAAATATGACACATGGGCATATTCAAGTAGTTAAATTTATAAATTTTAGAGCACCCTCATTTTATATTATTAGTTACAGTAATAATATGACATAATTATCGTACTATACAACCAGATATATGACAAAGCCTGCCGACCATCCTGCGCTTGCATTTACTGAGCCACCACAAAACGGTTTACGAGTGTTGAAGGACTTGCAGTTGCAAATTGTCGTCTTTCTTCGTTGTGATTGTGCGCTTCCTGTTACTTGATTGATTTTTACCTAACACGCTTCGGACATTGGAAAACGACTATCGGTTTTGTCAATTAGTATGGATGAACTGGAATCATGTTTTGTCCGAAGCGTGGATACGTTTCTGTGACTTGTGGTGGCTCCATTTTACATAGAAGACATTTTACTATAATAAAATCAGTCATTAGAACAGACTGTTTGAAAAAACCCGAACCCACGCGGGGACTCTTGTACCTTGTGAAGTACTCCCATAATACCTGAGCCCTCTTTGTACGGTCGAACTAACTAACTAAATTAATTCCCTTGTTTCATTAATATTCGTTAGTTATAGTACTTGTACCTATTTAACCTAAAATAACTAAAGACCCCCGGGATGGAATTTGATGCGCTTTGGCACAGATGATCATGACTATAATACCTTTCAAACAAATGTACTTTAAGCCGTGGCGGACGTTGGTGCAGCGTCTATACATTTTTGCACAATGTCCTTTTGCTGAGTATTTTTACCGAAATGGAGTCGTAATGCCAATTTTACATATTTGTCTACTTAATTTACTATTCTCAAAACAAGTTACATGATGTGGCTTGAAAATGTTAAGCAATAGACTCAGGATGCGAAGATATGGTTTAAAAGATATATGCGTGGCACTTAGCCACAGCATCACTTTACGGCTTCAAATATACTTCACGTCTTTTTTTATAACTAATTATGATGTTACAAATAGGAAACATGATTGTGCAAACAGTTAATTCCATTTTAAAATGTTACTATGAAGACATGACTCCTCAAATATATTTGGTCGTGTTAGCATTGTACCTATATTAAGGGGTGAATATAAATACAATATCATGCCGAATACTAACCATGCCCTTCCCGAGGCGCGTGCGTGGTGCAGATTGAAAACTCCATGAACATTTTTAGGGTACCGTGGCACGGAACCCTTTTAGTTTCGTCATGTCCGTCTGTCCGTCCCCGGTTTAGCTTTACACAATTAGCACTAGAAGCTGTAATTTTGTGGAGATATTATATATATATATATATATATATATATATATATATATATATATATATATCTCGCCGACGAAATGTTAGAATTAAATTTTCAAAAATATGTTTTTTTGGGTAGCTACCCTACATGTAACCGGGGGATATCTTTTTTTGTCATCACCTACCCCATCGCGTGGGATATCTTTAATAGGTCCTTTAAAATTACTTAGGGATTCCTAAGACTATTTTTCGATTTAGGGATCCGTTTACGAAACATTGAACTTTAAAGTGCTAATTTTTATTCAGGCAGGGCGTCCCCTCCCCTCTAAAAGCTAAACTATTGGCTTGAAAAACCTGGAAAGTTATGATAATAGTGATTTACCTGATCTTTTAAGGAAATCTAAATTGGTTAAGATATATTTGTTAGTTTAAAGAGTTATAGTCGTTCAACTTTGGCTAAATAAAATTGTTTACTTACTCAGAAATTCCTTAGAAGAAAACATTAATAGATGAAGTTATTGTTGTAAAACCTTGCATTGCAACAAAAATGCTTGCTAAAAAAACTATTTAAAAATCCCAATAAAATATCATTAGTTCCACAACGCTAACGCGCGTACCAACGGCAACGGTTTCTGAGTCACGTTACGATTAGAAGATAAAGAATAGTGTGGTAATTACAGGCAACTACGGAACCTTACACTGCGCGTGACACGACACGCACTTGGCCGGTTTTTATCTATGAAAAAGATAATACATCGCGTGGGCCCTAAAATATATCCTGGCTTTGGATGAGCTACGGCTCGAATTCCATACGGTATCATATAATTCATACTTATGTCGATACTTATTGTCGTATACAGAGTCTATTAGGCTTTCTTTGCTTTCACTTACTCAGTTTAACAATCAAGTGTCCTTGTCCGTCCAGTTTCAACACCAAAATTTTGCCTTTAACGTCATACTCCCCTTCGACCACTACTGTGCAGAGTATGTTTACGTTCAATTTTGATTTGGCCCCATCTCGCCTGTAAACACGTCAAATAAGCCAAAAATATAAGCTACACTAAATAATGTTTTAGTGCAGGAGCGCGATGGCGCAAGTGGTTAGCGCGTTCGGCTGCGATCGTTGAAGTTAAGCAACTTTCGCAGTGGTCGGTCATTGGATGGATGACCAAACATTTAATATCTTGAGCTCCTCAGTGCTTCGAAAGGCACGTTAAGCTGTGGGTCCCGGCTGCATCTGCAGTCGTTATCACCCGCCAACCCGCACTGGGCCCGCGTGGTGGGTCATGGCCCAATCTCTGTATTCCATCCATAGGGAAGGCCTGTGCCCCAGCAGTGGGGACATTAATAGGCTGATGATGATTATGAAATAATGTTTATGTTATGAGATTATGTTTCTCCGAATGGTTATGTTTCTTAGTGTACATGGAGTTGTATCTAAAGTGTTCTGCTAATTCCGTAAGGTATTTGAGAATAATATTCATGTTTATTGTCTATCACATAATGTCACTTAATACGCTGCATAAATGTAACGAAATGGGTAATGATATGTCGCTCATCCGGTGGTATAACATCATATTTACATATAGGTGCCGGCAGCTGCGGTTGTCCATCCCCAGGGAATGCCTGTGTCCCAGCAGTGAAGACATTGACACGTGATGATGCAAAATACTTACGAAATACTATCAACGGTGCATTCCTTCAAGCCCTTGACTGTAATATCTCGAGCGATCAACTGCAAGTTCTGTTGGGTCGCGTCAATCTTCTCTATATGGAGCGGGTCCAGAGTTCTCAGCTCTGGTGCTAGTTTGCCTTTCGCTAGCAACGGAAGCAATGCTTGAGCAGATTGCTTGATGCAACTAGAATCGCTGGCTTGACATTTTGTTACTGTAAATAAGCAAATAGATCGTAAGAAGTATCAATTTAACATACTATCGTTCAATTAACTAACTTTATTAATTTTAATTCACGCAGGCATGCATGGACATTTTTTTTGTATATTAGATGACCTATGAAATTGCCGCTTTTCATAAAATAAGTTAACGCCCTTCTTTGATATCTTTTATATTTATTAATAAAAGTTATAACCCATGCAATCAATCCATTTTTACTAACGTAGTGGTAGCTTATTAATGCCCGTTTTGAAAAAGTCTGCTGGTCGGGAGGCAACATATTCTACAAAAGCATTTTGAACTGCCTCTCGGATATTGAATTTGTTCTCCGCTAAGAAGTTACCCAAATTCTGAAAAAAGTAAAGGTCTGTAGGGGCAAGGTCTGGTAAGTACGGTGGATGACGGAGAACTTCCAACCCAATTCTTGTAGCTAGGAGACCGTCTGTTGTGCAGTATGAGGTCGCGAGTTGTCGTGCAGGAGCAGCGGAGAGGACCGATTGACCAAAGCTGGTTGGAGATATGCGAGATTCTCCATCATTGTGTTCAGTTCTCCACAGTACACAACTGCAGTTATTCTCATTCCGTTTGGTGAGAAGCAGTGATGAATGACACCGGGGCTAGACCACCAAACAGTGACCATCACGTATTTAGTGGTCAGTTTTCGTTTGAGGCTTTGTTTAGTTCCTGAATCAGGATCTAATCAACTTGCTGGTCGCTTGCTGTTGTCAAACAGAATCCATTTTTCGTCGCAACAACATTGTGATTCAATATGCCGTCATTTATGTGCCTGTTGAGCAGTGCAAGGCTCGGCTCGACACGTACTTCGCGCTGGCGGTCATTCAATTCGTGGGGCACCCATTTGTCAAGCTTTTTTACCTTGCCTTTTTGACGCAAATGGACCAATATGGTTTTGATGTAAACATCGAAAGCTGCTGCTAATTCAGCTGTAGATTGAGAATCATCAGCTTCCACAATCGCCTTTAATTCGTCATTGTCAACTTAAAATTTTGGTCGACCACGGTCTTCATTTCTTTGGTCAAAATATCCAGAACGGAAGCGAGCAACCAATAACGGGTAGTCCGATCGTTCGAGTACATTAAAATAGGATTGTTTTCCCACCGCCAAAGGGTGAGCTCATTTTTACTCTTTTTGCCTTCTTTGTAATTTTCGCTCGACTCTTTGTTGGTGGAAACAGATGTATGCATTTTTGTAAGGCGAGGTTAATGGAATAATTAATGGGCTCGCTCCGCTCGCGGTAGAAAACCCCCTTAACCATTAAACAAATGACTAATTTTTGAACTTAATATTCTTAGCGAAAAAAGAAAAAAATGGGCTGGTAATACCGCGGACCGGCAGAACGGCAAATTATTTAAATATAGATAGACTCTAAACATAACCTATAACAATAACAAATAACGATAAATGTTCACCTGAAGCTGCGTTGTTAGAATAAATGACACCAAGAAAACTGCACAAAAACACTGTTATCGATAACATATCGACAGCTTACTCGACACCCGGAGTTGTGGCAACAAAAACTAGTTCCCAACCTATTAGGACTATCAGATAAATGTTTGTGACATACAGCTGGCTATTATGAAACCTTATATAATCCACCAGATATTGTAATTGTTTTATATTTTTATTTGCGAGATGCGGTTCGGTTGGTAGCGGTGCTCATTCCATTTTTAAATTAAATGAAATTAAACTTCATTCGAATTGTCTTGTTGTAAGCTCTTTTTAATCGTCCAGTATTTTTTACCATTCAAGACATATTTTAGCTGATAAGAAGAATGAGCGCAAGAAACTCATCAGCATTTAACAGAAGTAGATTTTTAGTAGACATCTAAAGCGTGATAAAAACGGCTTTACGCAAACTCGAGGTCCTGAACAAGGGTCGGCGTTTTTTGACACCTGAGCAACTGTGCCTGACAAGTTGAACAAGATACAGGTGGGATTGCTCTGGACAATGGTATAAGTTAGCCTAAATAATATATGACTAATCATATGTATCATAGTGTCTAAGACACTAAAAGGTTAATTTCAAGATTACTTAAAAACAACTAATGGGAACGCTACTAGGCTGATACTTTGGATAGGTTATAGCGGCGCTGTCCGCATCATAGGCGATGATGAGGTGACCTTATACCTCCAGCCTCTTCAATTACACCGTGACGTCGCGTCATTCAGCGCGTTTCATCGTATAGACGATGGTATCCTCGCCATGGTATAGACCATGGCGAGGAGAGTGACAAGAACTTTGGTTACGTAAAGTAGCTATGATCTAATTTTATAACGACAACATCCATAAGGACGTAAAACAATATAATATATTATAACTAGTTGTGATGCATGCATGCATTTGTATTAGTATTTATACTGTATGATATAGCAATCAAAATGCAGGTAAACAAATAATGTATATTTAATCATTATGTAATGAGAGGTGACCTCATGAATCATCTCTGAAGTTATTTTTCAACTTGACGACTCTGTAAATATAACAGGGAGAAAAAAACAGCCCTTTGCTGAGTTTCTTGCCGGTTCTTCTCAGTACAGGATCTCCCGCCGTAGATTTACGAACCGATGGCGTAGCTTCTAGAGTCTAAAAGCGACGCCATCGGTTCGTAAATCTAGACTTTCATGAGTGCTTGTAACAGCCTGAACTGAATAAATGATTTTAATTATTGATTATTATGGCATCATAATTTTCTTAATTTATTTGTTTTTAATATGTGTTTTAGTAAATATTTTAGGAGATGATCATCTTTGTTATAGATGATAATAGTGATATAATTGATTAAATGTTTTTGTTTTAATCAATCAAAGGCTTAATTTTGTTTATTACATCAATTGTTCTAAATATAGATAGAACAAAGTTAAAACATGATTAGCTCTAAAATTTGATTAAAGGACTACGGTACAAGTTAGCCTTAATAATATATGATTAGACACTAAGGTTAATTACAAAATTACTTAAAAACAACTAATGGGAGTGCTACTAGGCTGATTACAAAAGCACATTAGTAGGCTGATAATGATGATAATCGATGATACTAAATTATATTATATAATACTACTAGTCGGGGATCAAAGTAATTGTAAGTTAAAAAAATGTTTAAATTGTAACAAAAATAAAATTAAAGCCAATATTTACGAGTAAATCGCTTAACAAATAACCACAGCCTAACACTAAGAATTTGTTGATTCATTATTCAAGGAACTCATCTTGTTAAGGTTGCGTATTCAACGACGCGAAACCATAAACAATACTTATATAGAAATATTAACTATATCTAAATTATGTAACTTTTTTTATTCGTATTTAATGAACATTGTTAATTACAATTAAAATAATATAATCAACACTTGTACGCCTTGGCATGATATAAAATGTAGAAAATCTTATACTCACGTATCGAAGTATTCACTCATTATAGAAAATATTTATATTCCAATATAGCAATGCTTTTTCCGAATAAAACATGAAATGATAATTGCCAGATGTTGATCTCATTATTTCATCAAGTGATAAAAAAATATGTGAAAGTTTGTTACTCAATAATACAAAAAGTACTGAATTGATTTTGATGAAATTTGGTACGCATATAGTTTATGACCTGGATGGAGAAATAGCATACTATTTATCTCCAAAAAATATTGGGTTCCTGTAGGCTTCTCAAAAACTAAAGTCAACCAACACGGATGAAGTCACTAGACGGCCGCTAGTGTTATTATAAAAGAAGAGCAGTCGATTAATGAAGTTTGTTCTTCTTATTCGGGCACTCTTGTCAGAGTGGTCATGGTTGCGCAGACGAGGTACATGGTGGGGTGTTCTTTGGGTCGCTATCAATTCCGAGGGTAGCTGTCCTGGCGATGTGCTTCCATTTCTGACGGTTCGAGGTGTCGCGAGTACACTGGACCATGGTGGACTCAGTAGCCTTTGTGATGGCGTCTATCCAGGGGGTTGGCGATCGACCGCGTGCTCTCTTGCCTGGCCTTGAACTACCAGTCTTTCCATCGAATTCTCATTTCTAGAGATGTGTCCAAAGAACTCGTAATGAAGTTTACGACTTAAGTAAAAAGTATCTACGTAAAGAACAATAGTATTAGGAGAGGCAAAGCCATTTAAATAGCTATAAACCTTAATGCTAGTTAATGTACTTGCCAACATTTTTCTCTCCTAATATGGCTATTATATTTTTACGGTTCATAAGTCCGATTTATTTGGTTCGTGCGCTCCCCCCCAATCGATAACCTCAACTCATTCGTTACTCGTTTTACAAGGGAGCATACACACTGGGAGCCGTCACGCAAACGGTTTTGGCACGTGTCGCGTGCCCTCCACGATAGTTGCAAAACGCTTGCTATTTACAAAACCGAGGACTTGCTCTTAGGTAGCGGACTGTGTAGAGAATAGTAGAACCAAGTAAACCATTATCGGTACCTAAAGGGTAAAATCGTATATGTCCGTCCGTCCGTCTGTCTCTAATAACAAATACTAAAAATAAATACGTATTTGTACGTAATTGTACTCCAGTCATGGATGTTTAATATGTAATTCTATATAAATACAGTTATATATGTACAGTATATGTATTCTATCCGTTACCCTTGTATCCATAACACAAGCGTACAGTGCTTACTTTGGGGCTAGGCTAATTGGTGTGAGTGTTGAAAATATTTAAGTATTTAAACAAAACTTCAAAAGTCAGTTGAACTGTCTGTGCATCTGTTATGATTTGGAGGTTACTCGCCTCTGGAAGTAATTTCCACGTTGTCATCCTGAAAGAAGAACAACAAGTTATTAGAAGTCCAGCTGCAAAGACAGCTGATACGGCAGAAAGGTATGTCGCTCCAACCTTACTTACCGTGCCGGCCTGAATCCAATCTCCTAGCAGGTGGAGCCCTACAAAATTTTTGTTTAGGGTGAATAAGTATTCAATAGCAGAACACCACCAACAGTAGTGTAATTTTATTGTGGTCTTCTGTAAGGTAATGTTACTTTCCCAGGTAGGCGCGGGTGCGGGCCAAAGAGCGGAAAACCAGCTATGCTCGGTCTAGTTTACCGGGAACGGGATATTAGACATAGCTGTTAACTTGATCTTTTATTGAGGTCTAGAAAAGTGTCGATTTCAAAATTCCAAATTGTTTTTAAAATATTGGTAAGACGCTGGTTTTTTCATTCAGTTATCACTTCGATTGAGTCCATTGAATCTAAAGCTTCCTTTGTTGTTTATTGGACACGTCACTATTTCCTGCCTCTGATAAAAAAAAGAATTAATTACTAAAATAAGTACACATCGTCCATCAAAATATTTGTAGAATAAATTGTATAAATTAATTACCTAATCAAGGAAGTAACTTAACATACTTGAGGTCATATATTCCGAAGATGGTCTTCAGCTTGCTTGAAACCACATAACAGCTAACCGATAAGATTTGTGAATAAATATTATAAAATTAAGTACCTAGTAAAATCTTAGTAAATAGACGCTACATTTGGCATTAATTGTAAAGCACGCATATTAGAAATGCCATCACTAATGGTAGTTTCCAGATTACTTTAACCATCTGTAGAGGAAACTTATCAACTGTATTTCTTTCACTTTAATGCCATTAAATAATATAATCAGAATTCTTATATTTATAAAACGGTGGTACACAAGCCCTTGATAGAAGGCAAGCTTCCATTACAGTCTTGTACCCCCTTATAAATAAATAAACTATAATTTTGAATAAGTCACTTTATGTTTTCTGTGTCACTACCCGTTACACGTGTTGCTTAGTGATTAAAAGATTCCTACATCGAAGTACAGAAATTTAGAAGTAACTGTAGAGTAAAGACAGTTTTGTAATTAAAGCGTAAACTCGCCAATCGCTGCGCCAGTCAATGGAAAATACTCTTACTTGTTTACTTGATAACATCACCCCGTGGGAATAAATCAGTTTGTTATTGATTGGTAGTTAGTTACGCCCCGGCTAATTCATTTTCTCGGTCGCCCCGTGTTTGATACGAGGGTCGATGTAAATTGTTATGTGTCATACGAATAGTATTATCAACCCTGCAATGTATTCTGACCACCGTGTTAAGGGCTTTTATAGTTAGGTTATGTTTCGATAAGTTCTGACCTCTGTGTTGGAGCGGCATGTACACCGGTTTTCATATCGCGTACTCAGAGATCATGAATTCGAATCCCGGTAGGGCAAATGTTTGTTTGATGGATATGAGCATTGGTACTTAAGTCATGTCTATTATTGTTTTAGGTATATTACTACAGAAATATAATTTTATGTATATAATATTATTATGTATTTCAATTGCACGGTCGTTAAGCAGATCCGATCCCTGAAGGAGACTTATGTGCAGCAGTGGGCGTTCATCGGAAAATGATAATGATAACAATCTGCTGCAAAGAAATGTGCCATTGTGACTTGTGATTGGGCCATATTTCTATGCTGCATCTTTACGCAGGGTGTTGTATATTTTTATGTTATGAGTTTTTTCTATTACATTTGTTTGTGTGAGTTACTGCTGCGGAGGAGCTCGAGAGCGTAGGATGATAGCCCGCCCCGTCCGCGATCGTGAAAGTTAATCAACTTTCGCAATGGTCGATCATTGGTAGGGTGACCAAAGACTTATTATCTCGAGCTTCTCCGTATTTCGGAACAAAGTTAAGTCATTGGCCCCGTCTGCGTTTACAGTCATTAGCACCTACCAATCCGCACTGGGCCCGCGTGGTGGGTCATGGCCCAATCTCCCTATTCCATCCACTGGGAAGACCTGGACCTCGGCAGTGGGGACATTAGTAGGGTGGTGATGACGATGACGGCTGCTGGGGCGGAACTTTTTGAATAGTTCCCGCCAGCAGTCCGCATCCAAAGACTGCGGATTCTTCAGCGGCTCGTCACGCCAGCTATTTGAATAGGATTATTTGAAAAAAATTATTGCTGTCGCGCTAAGGCAAATACCATGCGATAAACAACAGGGAGAACAGTAGCTAACGCTGAAAATTGCGTATTAAAATTGCAAAATTCCAATTTTGGCTCTCGACGATATCCTCCTGAAAAATTAGATACATGTAAATTATACCCATAGAATAATAAGTAGTTTTATAAGGCTTCTATGTTTTGCTTTTTTGTAAATACTTATTGTATCTCCACACTAGACGCCTTTACTGGTAATTATAATGTATTATTTATTGGCATTTTTGAGGGCTTTTAGTTTCTTTGAAACACAAGTTATCGAAAAAAGGAAGACATAGGAGCATACAATGAGTAAAATTATATTAGATGTATGAAAACCTTTTCTTTAGTGATAAAAATCAAGGAGGAATCAGTCGAGAGCGTTTGTTTAGATAAAACATTGCCCGCCTTAAGAGGGGCTTAACAATTCAATATCACTTTACCATTATCCTTTTATAAACCTCACGACAAGTCAAACCACTTCGTATCCTCGAGTTAATAATAAGCCTTTACAAAACATTAATAACTTAAAATGCTTCAAGAATTCTGTCGCGTCAGCGCTACTCATTATGGGCCGATCCCGATATAAATACCACAATGTTGCTAGTGCAGTTAATAGTGGCGCTAGTATCCTATTTTGATAACTAATAATATTACATAAAGTAAATTTAAAAACATTAGATCGAATATACACCAAAATATGACTGAGATGATAATTTAGGGGAAACATGTCACGTTATTATTATATTGCATGAAAATGTATTAATGTTTTGATTAGTTCCAGTTTTAGCCGCATGCAATGATAATTTTGTGATACCAGATTGCGTCCGAGAGCAATCTTTCGTTTGTCAAAACAACAATTGACAGGTATTTACGATAAGAGGCTGGGCTCAGGCTTTTTTATGCTAAAGATCAATTAACTTTATTTTAACTTCAGGTTATATAGTTGGGCTATTAATAGTATTTTCATAAATTTCCGTTTAAAATGCATGAGAAATAAGCAGCATAGGTAATTCAAACTTAAAGTTTAAACGATAATGCTGGGATTTGTTTTATTTTATTAACATATTTAAAATAAAACAAATCCTAGCCCACTTTTTATATTTTAACAAAAAATAGTTTTTTTTTATTTACGATAATATATTTATTGTGACCATTTATTACCAATCATTTTCACAAAAGAAAAACACATTTTAACATATTATTACTGCACTGATTGTAATGACAGCACTCTCAAATCTCTAAATTAAGTCACCACATGCTCCAAATACAATGTGTTGACATTTTTATATCTCACGCCTCCGTGTGAAGATTTCAAATAATAGTTCTTTTTACGGTTTATTGTGATGCCAACGCGGCGTCTTGTCATCGACGACAGTTTTACGAACGGATAATAAAATTTATGATTGCATTCTCCGGTGTTTAAGTCATTAGGGGACTTCTTAATAATAATCACATGGCAACAAATATGCATAGAGAATTTCTCAAAACTTAATTGGAACCATTTCCTTCCTATTTAACACGACTTTACAAGTACGTACGCCATGTTCGACAGTTTTTCACAGTTGTCTTCAATTCCTGAATTGAAAAATCACTATCAAGCAAATCTGATATCATCATCATTCATGCCTCCACTGCGGAGGCACAGGCCTTTCTATAGATGGAATAGGGAGATTGGGCCATGACCCACCACACGGGCAGAGTGCGGAGTGATGGGTGCTAACGAATGCAGATGCAGCCAGGACCAACGGCTTAACGTACTTTCCGAAGCACGGAGGAGCTCGAGATTGTACATTTTTGGTCATCCACCCAATGACCGACCGCTGCGACAGTTGCTTAACTAACTTGCAACGATAACCACTTGCATTATCGAACTCGTCGATATCGCCCAAATGAAATGTTTCGTTTACTTGTTTTTAGTATTAATTAATTTTTGGTGCTGCGGCTGATATTAAATTTGATTTGGTAATGAAATAGTATTCAGACGTTAAGTTTTATAAGAGAATAAAAGATTGGCCCTCAGGTTATTAAAAAGAGGGCTTATGTTTTGCATGTCGCACAGTCTATAAATAGAACCTGAGAAAAATAGGTAGCAAGTTTTTACAAAAAAGTGAAAAAAATGTAATTAACGCGCTATTTACAAAGCTCGTATTAAAGGTCAATTTGAGGGCTTTTTATGCTATTTATACAGAAAAACGGGTTTCAATATAAGAATCTCTTTGGGATTAAAATCGTTATTATATGTACACTGTTATTAATATCAGACAGGTGATTATTAAAATATCTTTGAATATAGCTCGTATTGTTTTAAATTAAAAATTAAGTCTTCATTCACCACCGTTATACTGATTTAAATTGGTACAAAATAATGGTCACCCATGATGATTTGATTGATTTCGTTTGCATCATTGATATAAATACTATACTACTTTACTATACTTTCCTCGTCATAGGTGAAATAAATAATAAAACATTTAAAGGCCGTATTTAGTTTGAGTGTAACTAGTAAATGAATTGGGCATTCTAGCTCACAAATTGAGTCCAAATGCTCGCGATACTCTCTACGTCGTTGCTTCGTTTAACTCCACCCGACGTTGGACACAATTTGTAAGGAAGCCCATTTTATTTTTCGATTTGTTATTGGCGATGTACGATTGTATACACCAGCAACGTTACTGAATGTCATTTATGTGATACATGATACGTAGAGTTCAATTTAGTTAGTAATTATGAAATTCGTTAAACAAAGAGAATCAATAAAATTAGAATGTATCTGCCCTGCAACAACGTGTCTAGTCCTGACCTGACTACCTGCGACTTTCATTTATTCCCAAGAACTAAAGATAAAATTCGAGGTATTCGCGTAACGAGCCCTGAAGATGCGGTGAAAGCGTACGAAAGTGCCATAGAAGAGACCCCTAAGGAAGAATGGGCCCACTGCTTTTCTCAGTGGTTCCATCGAATGCGAGAATGTGTAGAGAGGAACGGAGATTACTTCGAAATACAATAAAAGTTTTGGCAACTTTCTACATTAAGCCGTTTTTCATTTTCTAAACATTTTCGGTGTTACCTAGTTACTAAAGCGCGAAAACGACATGGTAACTTATTGCCAAATATAAAAATACCTAAAGAACTTGTAAGAGACAATTCCAATTTAATTATAAAGTAAAAGACAGACAGATTTACTTTTACAATTTACTATTATTGTAGGTCGTAGGAACTCCTCCTAAGCTGCTAGGTCGATTCGAATGATTTTTTGTGTATAATCGATCCAAATCCCTGGATGTGCACAACTGGACCACAGCTGATTACTAGCGGAAAACCAGTGTATTTTTTGTCTCAATCTAATCTAATGATTGTTGTCAGTTTCTTAGAAACTTTGAATTCTGTAAATGCGTCACGTTTATGCAAATAGAATATATAATGCTACATCTGCATAGGTGCATATTTATATTCTATAAGATTTGTCTCATATTAAAACACACATACACACACTTGTAATGAGTACATTAATCTCTCAAGACAAAAACTGCGTACTTATTTTTGTTTGAATCAGGATTGTTTTATCCTAGTTTGGCGCGTTAAAATTCGCAAACGAGGAGCACGATTGAGAACTAGATGCGTATTGGCTAGTTCTCAGATGAGTGACTCACTCGTATTTATAAACAAGTGATTACTTGCTGCTAAATAATTACTTTGTTGCTAAGTTACCAAGTCATTTCTTGACACTAGAATTCTTCAATAAAATAACTGGTTACCTGGCAACAAAAATGGTTCTTACTTTGTTAAGAATGTAATGAAAATATTTCTCAAGTAACTACTTGAGCAGAAGTAATTAATTTGACTTGTTCATAAATTATAGTCATAGTTTTTATATTATTTACATTTGTAACGGAAAGTGACTTAGTGAGTTATCTCATATTGAAGTAATTTTTCAATTTGACGACTCTGTATATAATACAGGGAGAGAAAACAGCCCTTGCTGAGTTTCTTGCCGGTTCTTCTCAGTACAAGAACTCCTGTAGTAGATTTATATTATAATATTGAATTTTGTATTACGACGGTAAGAATTTGTTATCTTAATCTACTCTGAGATCCAGAAGGCTCGTTAAAACGTAGTCCCCTACTGCATCTATAGTCGGTAGTCACCAACAATCCAATGAGCCCATGACGTGGGTTGTGACACTATTTCTCCATCTGATTCTGCCAATAGGGAAGCGGTCCAGCAGTAGGGTAGTAGGGTGAAGATGATTACAACTCTTCCAGTAATGTAGGTAGGTATGTCATCATATCCTTATGATACAAAACGTTAGCTTATAAAATGTTAGTTACTTCATGCTGACTTGAATATTTTCATAACGATTGGGTTAGTTTCTAAACAAAATGCAAGAATATCAATTAAGTCATAGGTATATTTATTAGTTTTTAAACGGCTCTAGTTAAAAAGTCTTGTCTCTCACTCTAGTTAATAAATTTAGTATACACCCCGGCAAACTTCTTGAACATCGGCTAAAGACAAGAACTTCTACTTCGCAAGTTTATTTGTCTGTTGTTTTGCTCAATAAATTTGCCGCTACCTATAATAAAACAAATCCCGACTTTCGTTACTAACACATAAAACAATTTACTCTTCTCCTATAGAAAGCTATAAAAGTTATTTTTATTGTTTTTAAAAAATTTTCATTATTCACAATTATATCTTGATCTTGATAAAGCGCTATTTCACTCAGTTTCCACCATGCACTCCTTCACTTAACCTTTTATTAAGCATTAGTATAACAAAAGGGCAGTTATATACGCAATATTTCTAGTGATCGTTGTAACATCTTCTTGAAAATGTGTCATCTAGTGTTGCACATATTATAGTTTTGTTGACGTCGATCAATTCATATTTATACTTATTCATTAGAGTGTTATACATACAGAAATTGATATTGCAGGTAAATATTTGTTATTTTTCTTTTACTGATTTTATTTTTAGGTACAAATTACAATATTTATTGTTCTTCACGTATTCATATGTTTGGTTTTTGGTTACAAGTACAATTATCTGCATAGGATTCAAGGCAGTTAGACGTATTTCAAAGAACGTCCCCTTAAAATTGACATTAAATTACGTGAATTTCATCGTGTCGTATCCTCCTCTATACTATGTAAAACTATGGAAGTTAGAGTAAGATAGACGACACTGACGAGCACAATACATATATCCAAAGTCAAGAGTGCAGGCGTTGAAATAGTCTGGTATAGTATCTACCTAACATGTCCGTACCTTTAAGTCTAGTTGTTTTTTGGGCTGATATGATTTCATCGAGTTTGGGTACAGAGGATACCTAAACTCGATGACGTCATATCAACCCTCTTGTACTGAGAAAAAACAAGTAGACATAAAGGCACGTAGATGTTAGGTACTATACCAGTCTATCTCGAGAAAAATAACAACATGACATTGTATCAGTACATGACTAAAGAAGGCACAAAGACAAAGCTAACAATTGCGCGTGTGTGAGTGAGCACTGGCGAGTGTAGTGTACACAGAGAAAACGTTTCTATTCGGCAAGCGACAGTGCTCATTTAGGGCCGATTCATACCAGAATGGTATCGGCCGGCAGCGACGCGGGAAGTACTGTCTCGTTAAAAGCGATGTGAAATAATTTTAAAGATTATCTTCACAACTAAAAGACTAGTATCGCCCGCGCAGTCTACGCGGTTCCCCGCTCGCGACACCGTGGAACCTTTTCAAGCGATACTGATCTTTTAAGTGCGTAAATAAACTTTAATTAAAAACCAAATCGCTTTCAATGAGAATGTGCTCGCCGCGTCACTGCCGGCCGCTGCCATTCCGGTGGGAATTGACCTTTACATACGCGTTTTTATTCATGTGGTATTGGCTTTCACTCCAAAGTAAAGAAATAGAATCAGTCTAAAGAGATCTCTTCAGCAGGCATGGCCTTGAAGAACCGGTTGACGTTTGCGATGATCTTGTCAACGATCGCTTTGATGATGGGTGGGCCAACCTCTGTGACGATGTCGTTGGAGTTGTTCGTGATGATGTCGTTAGCGACGCGAGCTGTAACGGAAAAACGTATGGTTATGACTTTTGATTAAATAAATCCCGGTAAAAAAGACTGTCCGTCCAATTTTTAATTTACGTTTCTCTTTGGTTTTAGCTAGTTTAAAATATAATTATAGGTCATTGAATAGAATAGATAACTATTATAATGCAAAGGAAGTATTTAAACTCAATTGAGATAGGTAGTTTATTTTTAACTAGCCCATGAATCAGCGATTAATAATTTTTCATATACGAGTAGAGTCTGTGCGGAAAGAGAATGGGATTTAGATTGGAGGGCGCTGTAGTACTTTTCTACCGTATTTGTTAGGTTTTACCACTTTTAGACATGATTAAATACAAAAAACCGCAAGAAATCACAACAACAAACAAATCCATATTAATACAAAACTTTGACGTTTTACAGATTGCTGGGTTTGATTGCCAAATATAAATCTTAATGTTAGTTCCGTTTTTCGCTACGCCCATTCTCTTTCCGCACAGACTCTAGATATATTTCATTCACAAATACATATTTTATTCATTTAGTAACGGTGTGGTATAGTCGCAACCGTTCTCCTTGTTTATTTTTTCCATGTTCAACCTTTCTGCCTTCCTAGCATGAGCACCGCGATATGATATATAGCTCGTATTTATCACCCTTAGTTGTCAAATTACTATGGAGTTTGACAGTTACACGCGATAAAAAACGTGATAGAATATATATTGTGGTGATCATGCTAAGAGGGCTGGCCACTACTAATTTTAAAATGTTCGTTTATGGTTTATATGTAATTTTAGTCATGGGATGATATGATGGCCGTTTTGACACATTGCAATAGTTTCGCGAAAAGTCAAAGTGTTATCTAAAAAATTCTATGTAATCAAATACGAGACACATATTGGTATTAAACATTTTGTTTTATTTACCAATATTGCAAAAAGTTGCTTAGTTGATTATAAAGTTTTAATAAAACGAAAACATACATTTTAATTTACGCTCAGCGATCCCATATGTAACGATATTATTAATTTCATGTTTTTACATTTTGAATTTCGAACAACACAAATGGCGAGTTATATGACGAATAGGTACATTATAATTATATTATTATTTGTATAATATAACATTTTTTAATGATAATAACAATTACTTAAATTAATTTACTCAATCCTTTGAAGATTTGTCAAAGAACCGGTGTTTTTGAGTCAAAAATGATAATTATATTTAATTGTTTTAAACTTGAAAAGCTAGACCATGATTTTATATAGTTTAGTAAAATTTAAATTCTTCACCCTAAAATTACCGATATAAAATATTTTATGACTAAATGCGCGTCTCTAATGACAATTCAGAACAATAATTATTTCTTTCAAATATAGAACTAATTTCGAATTTAGAATATGAAACGTCATGAATGCAAAAACGTCAAAACGGCCATCATAGCCTGCCGCTACTATAGTTTAAAATAAAATTCCGTCAAGCGATTCCGCGATTATAAATTATAAAACTTAAATGCTTTTGTAAAATAATAAGTTTTCAACTCATATTTTGGTAAGTCGTATTGTACTTTACCATAAAATTATATCTGGACTACATATTTTTTAATTTTATACCTTGTTTTGTAACAGTTTTTATTTCTATCTTTACTAAACCGTTTTAGCTTATTGTTAGCGAGTTATATATATCGAACCCCCTCTACCGACGGCTACCGTCGCAATTTATAACATAGGAATGGGTGTAAAATAAAATGAAATACAATAGGGATAATTACAGTTGTTACAGAATTTTATATATCTTCCAAAGGTAATTAATTCGAAGAAAACATCTGGCCATCGGATAAAATTCCGTCCTAATTGTGTAATTTGCCGATTGACCCCTCAATTATAAGGAAATTAGTGGAAGATGGGGTGAATTGCTGTTACATATCATTTATATATCTAATCACCATAACAGAGAGCCTAAATACAAATTCATTTGCTAACGATAATAACAACATTTTGCAGGATATAATGTGGTGTCGTATTTCATTTCCATAAATAATTGGGGCTGTTTATTTGTGTCATACATGTAGTGTGTAGCATAAGATTTATTAATTTAATAAATAGCTAAAATTAAACTTTGAAGCAAATAAATATTAGTTTAAAAAATTATAAGTTCAAAAGTTCCACTTTACTGTATGTTTTTGTGGAAATTTTGTTGGCTGTTGGTTATGTACTGACATAATTTAATAAACTCAATTAAATTTGGATGTAAAGTATTAAGTTTTACTCCTTTGACTAACAAAATAAACTTTCAATTTCAGTATCATGAAAGTTTATTTTGTTATTTTTATGTAGTTATGTATTTTTTTAGCTATGAAGCTCAATCTTATGCGCTTACTATTTGGAGATTACCACACCGAAGGAAGCACAACGCCACCCAAAGGTACTATTATTGCACTGCGATCTTCGGTAAGGTGAAAGGTATTGCACAAGAAGGTTGCTCAAATAGGAGTGCAGAATCCGCTACGGCCCACCTCTCTTATAAAAAGAATTGACACAGTCATCAAGGTCTAGAAGAAATCAACGTACCCAAAACATCGTTGCCATTAAACAGATTCTCAAACTTCACATAGGCCTTGTCCTTCAGGTCAAACGTGAATCTTGATCCTTTGACATGCCAGTGCTTCTTGCCCTCCCGGCCCACGCGGTCATTCATGTCGGTCTCCACGTCAATTAGAATTTTATCTGAAATGGTTAATGATGTTTAGTGCAATATATGGTAAATATTATAAGTTTAATTATTTAATTATGTGATCAATTAGCAAACACAGTTTTGATTACTGTGGCCACTATTCCTACACGAACAAAGACATTTGGTGACTCATTTTTTTTTCGTACTATTCGTAAGGGAAATTCTTTGCCTGCGCACGTGTTCCCTCCTTCCTATGATCTGGGGTACTTTAAGAGAGGCGTGATGAAGCATTTTTGCAGGCCGGCAAGGTGAGTTTGGTTGGTGTGGCAGTTTATAACTGCTGTGCAGTTGGCACAGCAGTTATAATCTTCGCATTTGAACTTTATCACCACTTAACATCAGATGGGGTAGAGTCATGTGCCTACCTGAATATAATATATATAAAAAAAAAACATTGTACTAGCCCTCGCCGCCCCACCGCCTTACCTACTGAGTGCTATCATGACAAAACTATACAAAATGAAACACAAAATGGTAAAATGACAATTAGTGTGGGAATAATTTATAGTCAGATGACATTAACAGTCTCTGCTGCTTCCTATTCTTGATTACGCTGACGCCTGCTATCTTGATCTCACGGAAGACCAGCTTAATAAGCTTGAGCGACTTCAAAATTTCTGTATTCGTTTCATATTTTGCTTACGCAAATATGATCATGTGTCGCAATTTCGATCACAGCTCAAGTGGCTACCAATTCGACTTCGCCGGAATACTCATATCCTCACACTTCTCTACAATATATTGTTCAATCCTTTGTCCCCGCGCTATCTCAAGGAATGCTTCAATTACCTTCATACCTCAAACGCGTTATCTCTTAGGTCATCAGAGAATTTAACCCTAAAAATTCCTACTCATGACACAACCTTCTATGGTCGTTCTTTTGCCGTCCAAGCTGTTCTCCTGTGGAATTCTCTTCCAGTATCCATAAGACGAGCACAATCTATTCATACTTTCAAAAAACTTGTTTTCAACCATTATTTGTCGACGTAACTGCAATTGCTTTTTTTTTTTTTTTTCTGACTGGATTAAACTTTTATATGTGTAGTCTATGTATGTATATGTCATATATTTATATTACATATATATATATCTTATAGTAATATTATGTGTATGTATGGTATGTATATATATTTAATGTATATAGTTATATACATTTTTATATCCTTTGTTTCTTTTATAACACCACCGACTCCAATTTCATTCAATCCTCTCCATCCAAAGGTTGTCTGGAAGAAATCGCTTTTAGCGATAAGACCGCCCATTGAATCACTGTTTAAACATGATGTATTTAACCCATTTATGTACTGTACTGTGGTGTTTCAATAAAGAATTTTGTATTGTATTGTATTGTATTAAGGTACTCACTTAGTTGGACCTGAGCGTTCCCTTCCCCCTCAATTGGCAGGATAAGGAGTTGTCCATGCATTTCGTATTGACCCTCAGCGCGTACATTGCAAAATAGCTGAGTGTGCATTTTGGAATTCACCAAATCTCGCCTGCAAAAAAAGGGCATGCCTATAGCCTCTTGTGCTGGAGTGATAGTGAAGGAAAAATAAAGAAAGCATAGCTGCTTACTTTCAATGAAAAAGGAATATTCTACTTTATTTGGAGATATAAATATATACGCGTTTATTAAAGAATTTATCTATATTATTAGCACACAAAATAATGATATGTTATTCTCTAATAATATTTTCTGATAATAGATAACTTATACAAAAAAAAATGTTGTTTTTATTGTAACTGCACCTGCTGATAGGTTTAGAAAAATGATAAATCTTTAGGCCGCATACTCAGAGACGGAAAAGGAACAGATAATTTATTGTAAACTATAGTGACGTGTTAGCTTACTGTAAAGTATTCTAAATTAACTTTTGATGTTAATTGACGTGTCTTATTTCCTTTTGATTCCTGACTCAAAGTTTTAGCTTGGCGCATTTTTCTTTTGTTTTGACAGTTATTTGTTTATATTTATGATTATGTCCGGATCACATTTTTCCTGTCCAGTAATCCAGCCAATCAATCCAATCCAGTGCTAAACTAGATTAATTCGTTTAATGCCACAGTATAAAAAAATAAAAAAGAAATCAAAAATATAAATAAAATGGATGGAATGGAAATAAATGAAATTCGGGGTGGACAGCCCCGCACTTAGAGGTATGACAAATATATAGTAACCGATTCTCAGACCTACTGAATATGCATATAAAATTTCATAAAAATCGGTCAATCCATTTCAGCGGAGTATGGTAACTAACATTCACGAGAATTTTATATTTAGGATGAACTGGTAACTATAATAACAATGGTTACAAAACAGCAGTTCGAAAATGTTCACTGTCAAAACTTCAATCCAGTACTGGAATACCAGTCTATACTATTCCAGTGTCTGGAATGGGTGAGTATAGACCTTAAATCCAGTCATTGGACCGGATTACCCGCTGGAATAGAAACATTCTAGTGCCGAATCACATTATTCCAGTAGCATTCCAGTACGAAATGTATGTAGAACTTACTCAATCTTCTTAGCTATGCATCCTTTTAGACCGGTGACCACCATATTCTTAACTTTTAAGCTTAATTGCGGCTTGCTAGCATCGACGTCCTCTTTCAAAACCAATGGGTCTAACTGCTGCATCTCGAATTCTGGTATACCGTCTGCGATTATAGGGATCATCGCTTGGGCAGATTTCTTTAAACATTTTTTGTCGTCCGCAGCACATTTCGACACCTGAAAAACTGTTGCAGAAAAAAAGATAGTATAATTATCGAAGGTCGAAAGCGAAACTGCTGTATCTCGAAAAATCCAAGCTTACACCGGGCTTACAAGTTTATAAAAATTCATTACTCGTCTATTTATAAAGATAGAAACTCTAATTTATGAAATTGTTTATAATACTCATATATCAAAGTACCGAGTGGTTTGGACGCCGGGTTTCATGTTGTCGCCGACTCCATAGGTCCCGGGTTCATTTCCCGGGGGGGGGGGGGGGGCAGATGTTTGTATGATGAATGAATAAATATGTACAGTATATGTATTCTCTCCGTTACCCTAGCATCCCATAACACAAGTCTTACAGTGCTTACTTTGGGTCTAGACTAATTGGCGAGTGTTTAAAAAAAAGTCTGTATAACGCAATCAACAAAATTAACCTAAGGACTTTTTGGCGGGATCGGAAAGCGTCACTGTAGCAGTTTGATTTTTCATGTTAAAAATTGTGTTGTGGCGGATGTTAGTGTCTAATAATGGCGGATTATTAACCACTAAGTGTTTGGGAACATGCGCAAGTGAGTCAATTTAAGTCATCTAATGAATTTATCATGTGCGTTGGTATCGCATAGTTGGTATTCACCGGTACCAACGACTAATAATATAAATTCTGGTACCATCTTGATACAATAATCGAATAATTACAAATTATTTTTGTAACCTTTTTGTACCGTTTACAGTTGCACATGGGTCGATGAAAAGTTAGTATGCCGAAGAGCTCTGTCAAAAAATGCGACAAACTATCCCTAATTTTAGTAGGTATTGTAGTTATTGTCGTTTTTCGACAGGTATCAAATCAATGTTTTTAATTTAAAGCATTTCCAGCGAAATATTCTTACCATTTTAGAGCTTGCAATTAGAAATGACACAGGGCTTTAACGTAGGCGTTTAAATTAAGACCTTATCTTCTACATACTATATAAAAATAAGTCGGGTTTTCCTTCCTGACGCTATAACTCCAGAACGCACGAACCGATTTCCACGGTTTTGCATTCGTTGGAAAGGTCTCGGGCTCCGTGAGGTTTATAGCAAAGAAAATTCAGGAAATTAAAAAAAAAACTTCTTTTAATCACCAAACGAAATGTTACATAAAACGAAGCCATCTGGTGGCGAAACGGAGTTCGCCGGGTTTGCTAGTTTTCTATATATTAATGGGGACTGAATGTTTAAATATTGCCATGAATTGTTTTAGGTTACGCGATCATCCTACGTAGCTCCCTAGATCATCCAATGTGATATGATACTAAATGTAATGTTGTACCTTAAATTTTAGTTTAAATTATTTTTATTAGGTTGAATTTTGCAAATTATTTTGATTTTTTTGCGGGAGGAAATATGCGCATAAATTTAGTTTAACGTACATGAAATCAATAAAACGTGCGTAAAATCAAAATTGGAATTACGACACTCACATAAACAATGACGCAAAACATCGCCTAATCCTGCATACATATATTGTTTGTATGCCCAATGCGACAGAGGGGAAAGCTGTGTGTGCCTACTCTATTCTAAGCCTCGTCGACCGTATTGCTCTATGCATTAAACTTAACATCAAATGGGGTGAGTTAATTGATACAGTGGTGGTCATATAATTAATAAAGTTTAATAATACAAAGCCAATACTATGTTATGACCATAATTTCAGTGTATGGTTCGTTCTTAACATACTCTGTTAGTATTGTAGAATATTGTTATGAATGATCTGCTTTTCTAAGACAGCCAATGGCATGCCACTTAATATAAAATTACATAATTTATTTTCAAAAAATATATTTTTTTAATTAGTTACAATACTACAGCATTAATTTTTATTTATAGTCGTATTATAAAATAATATTTAAATGGCAGTAAATAAACAGTAGTAATCACACTAATATTATAAAGGCGAAAGTTTGTGAGTGTGTATGTTTGTTACTTCTTCACGTCTAAACGGCTAGAGCGATTTTAATAAAGTTTGGTATGGAATTAGCTGACACCCTGGATTAACACATAGGCTACGTTTTACTGCGGGAAAATATCCCTAATAAACCGCGAGTTACACCGCGAAGCACAGCCAGAACTATATATTTCCTAATTTATTTTTGGATGACTATAAACACACTAACTTATGTCATCTAAAGATATTATATGACAGTATAGCCAATATTTATCAAGTAATACTTTTTTTTTGTTATGAACATTGAAATTTCAAAATGTTGTCTTTGCTAGAAGCGTTCTTAATTATATGACCACCACTGTATGCATATTAAAGGAAAAAAAGTAGAATAAATTGTGTTCAAAACATAAACTCCGTTTGATAGATTTTATTATATTAAAGTAAACTTTATATTTAATCAGTTCATCTTGGGTGATGCTTTTTTCCTGAATATAATCTTAGTATATATCTTGCATTTAATAACACAACTACATTACACATAAACGTATTGAATTAAATGTGTTTATTAATAAATAAAAAGAGATTGCTGCTTAGCAAAAAGGATGGCTCTTGTACGCTTTCTACTGTAAACATTCATATACTAATTGCAATAAAGAATATTCTAAATCTATTAAAATTGTAAAAAAGCTCCTAATCAAACCAGCCATTAGATCAAATTATTCCTTGAACACCTGACACACTCAAAAGTTTACGAAAACATTGATAAAAGTAATTATTACATTTTATAAAAAATAAATACATACTTGAATTAGCAGTGCATCTGGACACAACCATTATCAAACATATCACCAATATATTTTTTTCATTCATTGTTTTAAAAATATTGGATAAATCGCCGAGGAACAACTGACCTGAGTCAAAACTGAACTTATAAACTGGGAGTTTAATACATTCCTGTTTTTAAATAGGCTACGTTTTCGCGGTGTATTATTTGTAAAGACTTGATAAACTAGTTCTTAATGGAAATTTTATTTTAATGGATCGATGCAATAATGCTTGTGCGTATGTTGATGATCTTTAATGTAATATTAAACAGACTTCAAAAAGGAGGAGGTTTTCAATTTGTCATAATATTTATTCTATTTATGTTCGCGGATATCTCAGTGGTTTTTTGGTCCAATTTTTGTATTCTTTTTTTTTGTATGAAAGAGTTTGTTAATAAAATGGTTCCATAATATTTTGTGAAGATCTAAATAATATTATTTTAGTTAAATAACGGAATTTCTCAAATACGAATGTACACTAAGTGTTTGGTTATTTTACGAAATATATATGAAAGAGAGGTTGCAGGTCAGACATCTATACATGAGACACTCAGAAAGTTTTGAGAAACCAAAACACTAACTTTTGTGAAAAAAAAATTAATCTTTTCATAGAACTCTCCATCAGCCTCTATACAAACTTTCATGCGTCTGAACCAATTTTCAAAACATTTTTTCCAGTCCTCCGCAGACACCTCTTCCACGGCCTTCTCAAGCACTGCTAGCGCTTCTCCCGGCGATGAAAACTGTATCCCTTTGAGCTTGATATTTTAGTTTAGGGAATTAAAAGAAGTCACACGGAGCCAAACCAGGACTGTAAGGAGGGTGTCCCAAGACTCTGGCTGGTGCGGAGTCCAGGAAGTCCTCCGTTTTGATCGCAGAGTGCGCGGGTGCGTTGTCGTGGTGAAGAATGACCCAGCGGAGCCCGGTGTCGTTTGTTGCTCATTGCAGAAAAAACTTCTGGCAGGCATTTTATGCTAAACCATTTGGCGTTGATGCTACTTTTGTCTCGAAGTGGAATTTAAATTAGGTCAAAGTGAAGAAACTAGCGACCAAAATTTTCCCTGCGTTCCTCGATCGCTTCACTTTCGTAGGCGTTGGTTCATTTTGAAACAGCCAAACCGTCGACTGACGCTTTGTTTCTGGATCGTATTGATAAATCTAGCATTCGTGACCTGTCACAATATCGTAAACGCGCCGTGACGAACCTGCATCAAATTTTTGTATCATATCACTGCACCAATCCACACGGGCCTGCTTCTGAGCTTCGGTGAGGTTGTGCGGCACCCAGCGGGAAACTATCCTCCTTACGCAAAGGTACTCATGCAAAATCTTGTGAAAACTTCCTGAACCAATCTGCAGAGTATGCTAAATCTCTTCGTAGGTAATTCGTCTGTTTTTTTTCCTTTTCTACAAAAAAATCAAGTATCACCTCTTGGGCCCTGGAAGTACAGTTTTACCAATTTTTTGACTGCCAGCACACTTTCTTCGGTGACAGCCGTCGTAGGACGACCACTCCTTTGTTCATCCCCCAAAGTAAGACGACCGCATTTGAACTCGCTACACCAGTGGTAGATGGTTGCTTTTGAAGGTCCTTCATCCATAAAAGTAATTTGAAAGCGATCAAATGACTCATCAGGTTTTAAGCCAAATTTAAAATCGTAAAAAATTATAGCACGAAAATGTCCTCGATGCAGATCTATTTTTTAATGAGACAAGAAAAATTTAATTGGCTCCCGAAAAAAAGCGGAGTGAAATTTGAAAATCGAACAGTGGTATTTTATAATTACAAGTGGGCAGTGTCTTATACATAAAAACTTTTTTTCGCATAACTTTCTAAGTGGCCCGGTATTTAGTAAGTGTAGCTCTGGCTTGGATTAAACCATTTAGTTTTAACCTAAGAGCTCTGGCTCATAAAAAGGTTAGTATAAACACTGTTTAAACAAAAATAAAAATAGACTTTATAAAAACAGAACCCTTTTTATGTTGTTCTAACTAAATATAATGTTACTTTTGCGTAGTTATTCTAAGTATTATACATCTATATGATCCATAATTGATATATACTGACGTCATAGGTATCTCTCGTTTTCCTTTGCGTGGTGGAAAAAAACTTCCAAATGTGAGACGGACACGCTGCTAAAGGTTCTGTACTATCGTAATACAAGGTACATGTTTTAACGCTTTTAAAGTACAAGGATTGTTAGTGAGTTCTAAAGTGGCTGAAATAATGTTTTAGTTTTTTGTATATAATTATGTGTAACTTCCCTTTATTAATAATGAATATATACACATGTAATGTAAAAATTTTAACTATTTATTATGGTTCTTGATACAGACGGAAAAACGGATAGTGGAGACTCAGTAATAGGCACCATTGTTACCATTTGAGTAGGGATCCCTAAATAAAGGGCGTCACGACAAAGATAAAAATATCTAATTTTGTATTAATCTTTTTAAATCATGTGGGTACCGATTTACGCCGAGTTTTGTTCATATCACTCAAATGCTATACTAGCTAGCTATTTCACTGTAGTAAGACAGTATAGATAGCAAAAACTGTTATATGACTAAAAGCATGTTGCGGATATTAATACAGCTATTGTTTTGCCATTTTCAATATTTAATCTTTATTTCAAGCTAGTGGGCTCCCGAAATATTACTTGCGCAGAATAATATAATTCTCATACAGATTTTCATTGCCTGAATACCAAAATTTGTCAACGTTTGGCTACGACTTAGCGGTCTAGTTGTAACAAATAGACATACAGGCAGACAGGCTTACAAAGAGCCAGAGCTACTTTCAAATTAAACAACATTTGTAGAGATTTTTGAAGTGAAAACTTCTTTAGCGGCGTTGTACACTTTTTTTGTATGGGTATAAAATGAAACTCGCGTCAGGACACGTGGGCTGATCGCGTAATGACACGTGCCTTGATCGGGGATCTGACGAAAACAATAAAATTGGAAAGGTTGTTGACTTTCAATATATTGGACGAAACATAGTAATATTTTATTTTATCGTTTTATAATAATAATAAGTCTCTATCTAGGACGTCCAGGTGGCAGTTTTATTGCGAAGAAAATGCTTTGTTTTTCAAACAGATGTCGCTAGGTGCGCTTTAATGTGATTCATGGAAGTTGATTTTTTTACAATAGATGTCGCTGAGTACGCTTAAACGTGATTCATGTAAGTTGATTTTTCTGAGAGATAAACTTTTTTAATGTAATATAAATTGTCAAGTTTGTATACGATAGCGCAATAAATAAGTGTTGTATTCTACCACATAAATGATAGTAAGTACTTTTATACTGATATTTAAAGCAATTCGTGCAAAATTATTCCCTAACCATTCCAAAATATCAAAAATGCACAACGTTAATATTCAAGTTTTAACTTCTGCCGGCACTCCTTTTTTTTTACTTCTCCCGAACTACAACCCGTCGTTTTTTTATTTTATCTAGTTACTATTGCATGCTTTATTGATTCGGAAGGAAATTATAAAACGCTATTAACTGCCAACTTTGCTTTGTAAATAATAATAGCCAGTATGTTAGCCTTAACAGGCTATTTCTATAACTTTAAACTTTTTTACGGAATAGACTGGCAACTTGTCAGTATTTATATATCCCAGAGCAACACGGCCGACGAGGTCAGGTTCCTCCTGGCAGTGGGCATAGATAGCTTTTCCTTCTTTCGAGTTGGGCATACAAACGATACATGTGTGCAGCATTTGGCGGTGTAATGCATCATTGTTTATGTGAGTATATTAGTTTAGTTATAACGCGTGTATGTTAAACTGCATTTGTGTGTATATGAGGAATATGCAAAAACTGACAGACTTATAAAATATGAAAAGTATTACGTCGCTGTGGCTACTCCCTTCCGTGTTGCTCTAGCACCTAAATGAGAAACTCCTTGGCGTATTGTAGTGTTTAGCGCGTTCGGGTCTGGTACTCGTACTGGTCTGGGTAACTGGTCATTTCGAAAGTTACTTGTACCCAACAAGTAACATTCGAAATGACTAGTTTTAGGATGGGGCACTAAAAATTTACAAACACTAGAGTCTACGCCAAAATGAAGCAAATGCAGCTCACTGGCTGACTCACATGCTCACTGGTTTATTAAAAATCAATTATGGAATTTAAATAAAACACTGGATAAACAATTATGGAATTTACTTTCACACCTGTTATTTGTTAACGACAAGATTAACCTAGAGATCGATTAGTAAGTTGTTTGATGAATATTAATGGTTCTATTATATAATTATAGTGATTATTGATTAATGACGTTTTATTGTATTAGAACAAGTTTTGTATCCATTGCGGTATAGAATTTATGAGGCAAGTCTATATAGAGTAAGATCTCAGGGCCGCCAGACCTTACTTATTTTATGAAGGACAAAATATGTACAATCAAGTAGTATTAGTGTGTACAATAAAGGTATACATATTCGGTAACTTGTGCCAACGCGGTCCAATTCTCAGATATGAATTGGTACAAGTACATAAAAATTTTACTCACTTTACTTACAATCCGAGGACTGATTCTTTCCTATATTGTAGAGAATATTGTTAACAATTTAAAATCAATACTGCCAGACACCTTCTATCGGCAGTATTTATTTCCAGACACTTTAAGTAAGTATTTAAAACAAATAACACAAGTTTTTTTAATTTTCTACAATTATTTTGATAATTAGATAAAAGGAATTACTTAATTATTGTGGCTTCCATTAGACTATTCACAATATAATATTAATAAAGCTGCATTAAAAGGCACACACCATGAGCCCATGTGCCCTTTCTCATAGTGGCAGTTTAAATACGCTTAGGAAATTATTGGCCCCTACGATTGGTCTGGCAGCTTACAAAATACAATAATAGCCCCTAAATATCAGTTCTTAGACTTAAAGTTAAGTTGTGCTTTTTGCTCTCGACATTAAAAGTGTCTGGCATTAAATACTGCTGACAGTATGTTCCTTGCCGTATTCCGACAGTAGCAGTCCTCAGACTGTAAGTAAAATGAATGAAATTTTTACGTAGGTTAATGAGTATTTTTTATTTATTTATCATCAACATGTTTGTAAACGTTCACTGTACACATTTATACTACTTGATTGTACATATTTTGTCCATAAGAATATTAATAAGGTTTGACAGCCCTGGGATCTTAAACTAGTAGATTTTCAAACTTAAACAAATACACAACGATATTAAATACCCTAGATACACCAACAAGAACAAAATCATGCCCGAAACCTGTCCATAAGGTACATTGGACGTCCACGGAGCTCAATAAGATGATCGCGTAGTCTAAACAACATAATGCATTATTTAAACATTGAAAATGACCTTTAAAGCATACTTTAAAAGGTCTTAATTAAAACGCACGCATAATAGAGTTATGACAGTCCGATATGTAAGCTCGTAAAATTTTACGACTTATTGCTATATGCAGAAGAATAAAGACCTTATTTCTTTGATTGTACGCGCAATTCTGAATGCGCTGTTAGTAATATAGCAGATACAGTCCGCGAGGAAAAGAGACGGCTATATTATCGACCATGCATTTGAATATCACAAATATTTTCTATTAAATCAGTTTATAGTAAGTATTAAAACAAAATTTACTTCAAATACGTTAAATTAACAAACATTGATTAGATAGCTGTCGAAAAAACCACATTTTACAATCTTTATGAATTTAGCGGCATTTTGACTTTTCTACGGTCCGCGCGAGACTGTGAATCAAGAAGTGCTTGAGTCGTGTTCGAGCACTTCTTGAATGGGACACATTTTGAGCGCACGTGGTGTATCTAGGGTATTTAATATCGTTGTAAATACATTACAAAGCAAAGAAATAAATTACTTTTAAAATAATTTAAAATTAAATAGAGGAAGAAGCCAGCGGTTTTCCCGCTCAAATTAAAGCACTAATCTGGGGAAGCAATCTCTAACTTACAGAAGACCATAGTAAAATAACAGTAAATATCTTTTGGTGGTTTTTATTTCTGCTGGTGAGTAGGGTTCCAGAGCTCCGCGGGATACGGGATTGGGATTAGGCTAGCAAAGGGAGGATGGCTGGAGCGCACACTTTCTGCCGCATCATCTAACTTCGCGACTGGACTCCACCTAAACTTAACATCACGTTGCTGGGTTAATTTGCTGCGCCATGCATGTGTAAAAAATAAGTAAAATCACACGGCATCTCAATAAAATCGTATTTTCATAATTAACAGTGGTAATTTATTATAAAGCAAGACATCAGTATAAGTTTAATGTAAGACAAGGTCTGCTGGGACAACGATGTTGAAAAATCTCTTGGTGTTCTGAACCACCTTGGTGACGATGGCCCTTTTTTTTGACGCAGGCAAAACCTTTACAGACAACGGCGCCTTGTAGATGCACACCGCCGAACGGACGTCACACCTAGCTCCCGTAAGCCTTACGGGGCCCCGCAGTGGCTGCCCACTGAGGTCTCCGTAACTCTTACGGGCGCTTTACATTAAAGTATCCGCTAAGAAACCCTGCGAATACCCTATAAGCTGCTAAGTGCGAAATCGCGGGATCCCCGTTTAGGGATTCTGCCGCGTCAAGGTGACGTTGGCCCTGACTACTGGCGAACCGATCTAGAGGACGATCTCGTTGGTGAAATAAAAAAGAAATATAATGGCTTACATATATCTAACGATTAGGATCACTATTCGCATCGAAATTAAAGTTTCAGAGTACGGCCGCTGCTTTCATAAACGTATATGTCATAAACTATGACAAATTTACTTATTACAGAAATTCTGCTAATATAAAAAACTTGACTTTGCTCGTGACTTCTTCTGCGTGGGCTTTTAGAATTGAAAAAATCTTTAGGACTTACTCCACTAAGCAATAAATACTAACCTTAGTATTGTTAAAAGGACCTAATGGTGATAATGGTTCAAGGGTAAACTTCTAGTATCATTACTCTTGTTAAAGCTCTCTAAAGGTTTTTTTATTAGTAGACTAAGTTTTAGTTATAATACTATCAATGACGACCTCCGAGGCCGAGTTGTTTATACGCCGGGTTTTATGGTGTTACCGACTCGAGAGGTCCCGGGTTCGAATCCCGGTGGGGGCAGATGTTTGTGTGATGAAAAGGAGCATTTGTACTCCAGTCATGGATGTTCAATATGTATGTATTTCTATATAAATATACTTATATATGTACAATATATGTATTCTATCCCTTACCCTAGTATCCCATAACACAAGCCATACAGTGCTTACTTTGGGGCTTGGCTAATTGGTGTGAGTGTGGAAATATTTATTATTTATTTATTTATATCAATACCACTCTTTCAGAAAAAAAACTAAAATCTGACAGCCCCAAGATATCTCAATAAAACTGCATTGTCATGTTCAACAGTAATTTATTACAAAGCAACACATCAGTTTAGGTTTAATCTAAGGCAAGGTCTGCTGGGTCAACGTTGTTGAAGAATCTCTTGGTGTTCTCAACCACCTTGGTGGCGATGGCCTTCACTACTGGCGGTCCGATCTCGAGGATGATCTCGTTGCTGCTGGACTCAATCACTTGGTTGGCGGCTTTGCCTAGAATAAAAACCAAAGGTTTATGAAAAAAAATACGGAATAGTACATTGCAGCTGTCAGCAAAGGAGGCATGGACGAATGTAAGTCCATCAATGCCTAGTGGTGACCAAGGCTTGTATAGTACTTTTCTAAAATAATACGCGTAAATTAGTATACAATTTTTTTTGAAAATCAAAAACAAACAACAATATTTTTTCCCGCGTTAGTGTTTATTTGCTTTTTTTCCATTATAGCTTTCTATTGAAGTCCAATTGGAATTTTAAATAAAACCTTTTAGACAAAGAGTCGAACCTACATCGAACTTCACCGAGCTGACAATAGAATGAAACATATTTTTTCATGAATTTAGTATATTACAAAATATATGAAGAATAGGTTGCCTAAAAAAACCCTGGACATTTTTTTTAAATTATTGTCGATGTAGGCTCGGATCTTAGACTATTTGATCAGTTACCTCCTTGGTTGCCATGATTCGGAATAAGAGATCGTTCCAAACTCAAATTATACGACAGATCATAATAAGTTTACTATGTAATTTATTTCGCCGCTAAACCACGACCGTTATGGATTTGCCCTCTAGTAGCGGTAGGCCGGTGTCCGGTAGGAACTACTGAAACTTTTCGATTTCGATAGTACGGTTCTACACGTCACCCGGACTATTGAACCTCACCTTGTATCAGTAGTTCTGTGTTGGCGAGAAGCTGTTGTTTGTGATTGTCTTTTAGTCCCGTCGACCGAAATTATGAGACTATTTACTAAATCGTACTCGAATAAAAAAAAAACGATCATTCTCAGTAGATCAATTAGTAATGATACGCTGATGGTTTGTTTTAACTTTAATGTTCTCATTTTAGTTTTCCGTGTAAAAAAATATTCCGGATAAAGTACCAGGAGAGCATAAATGGCTAAGAGGTTCTGGTCATGAAAAAGCTTCTCGCTAACACCCATCTACTGACGCAAAGTGAGGCTCAATAGTACTGGTGACGTACAACCAACACCATCGCCACTGAAAAGTTTCAGTAGTTCGGTCTGCCGGACTATAAACCCGACCACTGCTACTAGAGGGGATTTTCATACAACTTTTGCCGGCCGCTCCTCGCATGTGTTTGTGCAGCATAGCAATTTCGATTTATCTCGAAGAAGGTTGTCAAAATAGTGCAAGAAATACTTTGCTGCATTCCACATCCAAGGAGTGGGGTGAAACGACCAATAAAAACACCTTATGAGAAATTAAGTACCAATTTCGGTAATTGTATATTTAACATGAATATTAGGAGCGGTTTCACAATCCTGACAAAAAAGTACTTGTCGATAATATTACTAAAAATCATGAAACAGAGAAGCATTTTGGATCTATTGTCACATGACAGAAAACACCTAAGACTGGCGGAGCCTAAACTGACGTCACCTGCTTGTAAACATGCAGTCGAAGTGACATTACTTTGTACTGTTTGACGTTTTAATGAGAGCCTTGTGACATCACCTGCCTGTAAATACGCCATATTTGCTAGAGAAACATTTCCACAGCATATTTAAAAACTGAATGTTTATTTTCTATTGTTTTCTGATATACGCAACAGAATTATAAATATCCACTTTTTACAGAGTCACCAAAAAATGAGTAACGTATGAACGTTTTCAAAAACTTGCCAAATAGCCTATTATAAAATTTGAATTCCATTTAGCCTCTGTAGGATCTCAGGTCAGTTAAGTAAAAAAAATATAAACATACCCAAAACCTCACTTCCAGTGAAGAGGTTTTCGAATTCAAGTTCGGATTTGTCTTGCAGTTCGAAGGAGTGAGTGAATCTCTTGATATCCCAATGAGTCTTGCCGTCTTTGCCTTTCTTTTCACCCATATCTGCTTCGACGGACATCAGTATCTTTTCTGTAAAAGCAAAAACATACGAATTAGATGTGTGTGGCGTGTATAACCGAAATCTTTTATTTATTTTTTACGAGGCACTACAAATTACCCCACCCCACGTGGAGTCCAGTCACAAAGATAGATGATGCGGCAGAAGGTGTGCCGCTCCAGCTCTCTTTACATTGCCGGTCTGAACCTAATTCCCTACCACGCGGAGCCCTGGACTCACCAGCAAAAACACATTACCACCAAACTCCACGAGGTCCGAGTCTCAGAAATGCCCTCTAGTTGAGCTTCAGGGTTTCGTGGTCTAGAGGCTCATGACGGAGAGAGGACCCCTCCCCTCCGCCACGGGGAAATGCCACCCGCCTGGAATACCTCTAGAGGCACTCGCCAATTCTCGGCTTGAGGTCTCCTTAGGATCACTTCGTGCTTAAACCCGGTAACGCTGTAAAGGTCATCCACAACCAACAGCATACGCACTCAAAAAAAAACACCACCACAAAGTAGGGTTATTTGTCTATGGTATTCTGTAAGGTGGACATTGCTTCCCCAGACGGAAGCTCCTTTTCGAGCGGAGAATCCGCTGTGCCCTAACTTTCCAATTTTAATCCTTTTGGATAACTTACGAGAACTTTGGCGGTTCAATTTCGGCCTATAATGATTTAATTAACTTTAAACCTAAATTTGACAATAATTCAATCTTATTGATCTCTATAGAGAATGAATTATTAAAGGCGAAATGCCTTGTTAGCGTTAAATCATCAGTGTCTTATTACATATACTTTTGGGACATCTATTCGAAAAAACGATATTGTATATTATGTATGTATAATATTTTCTAGTTAACACCTCGAAGATTAATTAAATATGGAGATTATATTCTATAGTATTTTCAATAAAAACATAAAACTTTGTATATAACTAGATCTAGATATGGGAAACGTAATTTAATTATAATTACACCAAAACAAAGCGAATCTCCTTAATACAATTTAGTCATACTGGATAGAAAAAAACATCAAGGCTTGTGGCGAGAACTAAAATAATAAAGCAAACACTCCAATTAGATGCCTTTAGACAACTAATTAACGACGCCAAAGACCTTGGACTTAGTTCTATTTGTTTTGATTACGTCAGTAAAGGCATATGAATTATTTGCTTAAGATGCATAGATTTATTTAACAAATTCGAATGTTTAATATTTTTAAAGACAAAAATCCGCTAATATTGTGCTAACTATGTCTTCTAAATACTTAAAGAGTTTAAGCAAACTGTTATAGGGGCTGAGTAGGGAACTTGATAATATTATTTCAATATGAGATCTCAGCCGTGCGCTGCAACTATTGACAGTGCGGTGCCGTTTAGGTGTGGTTATTGATATAATTTTAACCTACTTAAAAAACGGGTGGTTCTCCATTGTTTAGTATAATGTGAAACTTTTATTATATCGCCACAATTAGTTTTCGTTCTTCTTTAAAAGGTCGCATTACATTTTTAATTTTATTCATAAAATTCAGATGTTAACGATATGCGTCGGTGGTTCAGTAGACGAAAGCTCGCTTGCCACGCGGGTGAGAGGTTCGATTCCTAGCCGGGAAATGACTTTTTTCTAAATGATTTTTAAAGTTTCACTTGTTGTTTTAAATTCTAGTAGAGTTCCGTCATGAGGATAGCTGACGCTGCAAAAGAATGTACCGTTCCAGCTATTCTAACCTTGCTGACTTGAGCCCAAATCCTTAAACTTTAATTTAATTTAAAGCCCTTGGGAAAAGAGCTTTGTAGGACAAAGGATATCTGAGGACTCCTTCCTGTGGGCCAATCGCCTAACCAGATTGCTTTGGAAAACGCTATCGCTTACGATTTCATTTTGTTATTTCTAGCCGCCTGAGGTTTTCAAATGCCTCGCGCTCTTTTTTTTTCTTTTGCATTGGTAATAACAATGTTAAAGAAAATGAGCGTGAGGTATTTGAAAACCTTCGGCGGTTAGAAATAACAAAATGAAATCGTAAGCGATAGCGTTTTCCAAAGCAATCTGGTTAGGCGATTGGCCCACAGGAAGGAGTCCTCAGATATCCTTTGTCCTACAAAGCTCTTTTCCCAAGGGCTTTAAATTAAATTAAAGTTTAAGGATTTGGGCTCAAGTCAGCAAGGTTAGAATAGCTGGAACGGTACATTCTTTTGCAGCGTCAGCTATCCTCATGACGGAACTCTACTAGAATTTAAAACAACAAGTGAAACTTTAAAAATCATTTAGAAAAAAGTCATTTCCCGGCTAGGAATCGAACCTCTCACCCGCGTGGCAAGCGAGCTTTCGTCTACTGAACCACCGACGCATATCGTTAACATCTGAATTTTATGAATAAAATTAAAAATGTAATGCGACCTTTTAAAGAAGAACGAAAACTAATTGTGGCGATATAATAAAAGTTTCACATTATACTAAACAATGGAGAACCACCCGTTTTTTAAGTAGGTTAAAATTATATCAATAACCACACCTAAACGGCACCGCACTGTCAATAGTTGCAGCGCACGGCTGAGATCTCATATTGAAATAATATTATCAAGTTCCCTACTCAGCCCCTATAACAGTTTGCTTAAACTCTTTAAGTATTTAGAAGACATAGTTAGCACAATATTAGCGGATTTTTGTCTTTAAAAATATTAAACATTCGAATTTGTTAAATAAATCTATGCATCTTAAGCAAATAATTCATATGCCTTTACTGACGTAATCAAAACAAATAGAACTAAGTCCAAGGTCTTTGGCGTCGTTAATTAGTTGTCTAAAGGCATCTAATTGGAGTGTTTGCTTTATTATTTTAGTTCTCGCCACAAGCCTTGATGTTTTTTTCTATCCAGTATGACTAAATTGTATTAAGGAGATTCGCTTTGTTTTGGTGTAATTATAATTAAATTACGTTTCCCATATCTAGATCTAGTTATATACAAAGTTTTATGTTTTTATTGAAAATACTATAGAATATAATCTCCATATTTAATTAATCTTCGAGGTGTTAACTAGAAAATATTATACATACATAATATACAATATCGTTTTTTCGAATAGATGTCCCAAAAGTATATGTAATAAGACACTGATGATTTAACGCTAACAAGGCATTTCGCCTTTAATAATTCATTCTCTATAGAGATCAATAAGATTGAATTATTGTGCTAACTATGTCTTCTAAATACTTAAAGAGTTTAAGCAAACTGTTATAGGGGCTGAGTAGGGAACTTGATAATATTATTTCAATATGAGATCTCAGCCGTGCGCTGCAACTATTGACAGTGCGGTGCCGTTTAGGTGTGGTTATTGATATAATTTTAACCTACTTAAAAAACGGGTGGTTCTCCATTGTTTAGTATAATGTGAAACTTTTATTATATCGCCACAATTAGTTTTCGTTCTTCTTTAAAAGGTCGCATTACATTTTTAATTTTATTCATAAAATTCAGATGTTAACGATATGCGTCGGTGGTTCAGTAGACGAAAGCTCGCTTGCCACGCGGGTGAGAGGTTCGATTCCTAGCCGGGAAATGACTTTTTTCTAAATGATTTTTAAAGTTTCACTTGTTGTTTTAAATTCTAGTAGAGTTCCGTCATGAGGATAGCTGACGCTGCAAAAGAATGTACCGTTCCAGCTATTCTAACCTTGCTGACTTGAGCCCAAATCCTTAAACTTTAATTTAATTTAAAGCCCTTGGGAAAAGAGCTTTGTAGGACAAAGGATATCTGAGGACTCCTTCCTGTGGGCCAATCGCCTAACCAGATTGCTTTGGAAAACGCTATCGCTTACGATTTCATTTTGTTATTTCTAACCGCCGAAGGTTTTCAAATACCTCACGCTCATTTTCTTTAACATTGTTATTACCAATGCAAAAGAAAAAAAAAGAGCGCGAGGCATTTGAAAACCTCAGGCGGCTAGAAATAACAAAATGAAATCGTAAGCGATAGCGTTTTCCAAAGCAATCCAGTTAGGCGATTGGCCCCCTGTTCATTTTATCCAGCCCCATGGCTCGATGAAATGAACTATGGGTAGACTAATCAGTAAAAATCAGTTAATACTCCTTCAACGGTCACCTGACACGCACTTTGAGGACGAAGGTCACACTAATGAGTGCCAAGACGGTGGGTATGGCGAGGAAACCCATAAAGGTTGGGCTACCCACCCGCCATATCCCATAAAGCCCTGAAATTTTACTCACCAAAACTACTAAAACACATTACATGGCTGTGGTCTTCTGTAAGATATTGGTTTTAAACTTCCCTACATAGAAAGGAGGCAGAGTATAGCGTATATATTTTCCGCTCGAATTGAAGAAGATCACAGTAAAACAACACTACATTTTGGTGGTGCTGTGTTTCTGTCGGTGAGTAGGGTTACACGAGGTAGGGCATTGGGTCAGGGTAGACAGCGGCGCTTCATATATTTTGGATCGCAGGCGTCTATAGGCTATGGTGACTTTTATCACCAGGCGGTTCATATGCCACCCTTTAACATAAAAAAAAGATAGGCGCTTCGATTCGAGTAGGAAAACCCCTACATCCTTACTGTGTACTGACACAGTAAGATTAGACACAGAAGGAAAGATATCAAAAGATCCCCTCAAATCAGTATTTGAGGGGATCTTTTATAAGATAGCCATCATCATCAGCCTATTCATGTCCCCACTGCATGGACTCAGCGCTTCCCTATAGATGTTATAGGGTGACTGGACCGTGCACCACCACGCGGGCCCAGTGCGCATTGGTGGATGCTAACGACTGCAGATGCAAGGGACCAACGACTTAACGTGCTTTCCGAAACACTATAATAAGATAGCTTTAACTTGTCGATACTTACTAAGTACGGTCGTGATTTTGCCTTTCCCGCTGACTTGGAGGACAATCAGTTTGCCGTCCATCTCATACTGTCCGACAGTATTCACGGCGTCGCACAGAATCTTTGCAAATAACTTGTTCTTTGCAGCGTCACGACTGTGAAAAAGAATTTCCGTTACGTCAATGCAAAGACATTAAACTGTGCACATTAAATTAACGCCAATGGTTGTTATGCAATTAATCTGACGCAATGTAAACATTTGAACAAGAGAAGACCACATTAAAGTATATGACTTAGATTTTAAAGTAAGGAACTAAAGCGGAAAATCGGTATAAATACAATAACAACCATCTAGATCCGAGACACTGATAATAAAAAAACTTCCATCATAAATATCTAGTACGAGTTTCATATTCCTTGTTGAACTCAGAACATTTTCTAAGACAAGGTCTTTCCCTACTTCGCGTCGTACATTTACGATGAAATAACTTTATAAATTTCTTAAGTCCGTTAACATCCAAAGTTAAAATGAATGAATATAGATAATTTTAAAGAAAATTTATATTTTCTGTTACAATGCAACAAATTGATATAATTTTGTTGATATTATTATTTTAAATATTAAACTGCTATATTTGAAAATCTAAGAATATAAATACTAGAAAAATCCATTCGTTCCAGGCATTAGACAAGATATAATAATATATGATTTATCTATCAAAAAACCGAGAACGAATGCTAAATAAGATTTAACATATTTTTAAGTTCTATTTAAATAAACTAATTTATAAATTTATAAAAAAATTACATTCCAATGCTGGAAATAAAACTCAAAACCTCAATGGCATCTATCTTCATTACATTTCGAGAACGAGCTCGATAATATAAGTTTTAAAGGGACTCGTAGACGTATGCAACTTTTATAATGGCTATTGCGACGGATAACTTCTATATTACAAATTACAAAAGAACCCGTTTGTAAATACTAGTTCGAGTCACAGGTCAAGTTGAAGCTACAAACCACCGTGAAATAACTTGACATTGCATATGTCATACAAAGGTTACATAATCGGTGACGTTTTTAATGGACGCCGCGTCGCACCGTCTTTGATGGAAAAGAACATACAGCTTCAAATCAAGTTATCTAAACCTGACATATTTCTACAAGTGATTTTGTGCTTTATTGTAATTGATATAAAATTTACAAGGTATTGCGACAATTTTATAGTTGATGGTTACTTGCTTGGTTCATAGACAATGATATACAGAAACAAGTTTAAGTAATAAAATTGTATTTTAAAAAGGAGCAAGCAACATAACATTTTAAAAAATGATAAGATCAAAGGATTAAAAAAATATAATCCTGATGCGATGATGTATTTACCAAGAAAGATATGTGCCAGAGTTTCCTAGATGCATATCATAAAAAAACAGTCAATAGTCAAATGAATAAGTCACAATACATAACGAGTTTTCAGACATGGATATCCGCATATTTGAAAGCTTGTTATGTATTTTGCTCTACATAAGAGAAGGAGGAAAATCCACATTTTTCCTATTTTCCTTCCTAATCTAACCTTACAGAAAATTGTAGTCATATAACCTTAATATTGTGTTTCTTACGTAAGGTGTTCAGAACTCCATTGGGTTAGGAAGAGAGTCAGTGTAGGCAATGCGAAAGCGATATATTATATAGGTAGCGATTAATTCTGGCATCGCAATAGGGGTGATGACGGGGTACAGTAAATGAAATTCTATTTAGTCCGTGAGTTAGATGATCAAAAAATAATGGACACGTATTTTTTAAAAAATGACAAAGTCATAGCGCGTCAAAGTTTGGGAGTAGGGGCTCGTGACGTCACTTTTGAGTGAATTTTCACTTATAAGTGTACTCAAACGTCGTGCGACTTTTCAAATCAATATATCTGTGCAATGTTTTTATTATGTGAAAAAAGAAAAAAATACGTGTCCAATACTTTTTGATAATCTACCTGATAAACGAGGAAAAAAAAATTAGTCATCATCCCTATTGTCTATATGTGCTATGTGATACCGACAGATGGGCAGTGTAAGCAAGTTTTCCAACTCTTATTAAATAAAAAAAGAGAACAAAAAACAAAATAGTAGCTGATACACACTTTCTATTATTATATAAATAAATAAATATAAATATTTCCATTACTCACACCAATTAGCCTAGCCCCAAAGTAAGCACTATAAGGCTTGTGTTATGGGATAGTAGGGTAACGGATAGAATACATATTTAAGAATATTTATATAGCAATGCATATTAAAAATCCATGACTGGAGTACAAATGCTCGTATTCGTCACACAAACTTTTACCCCCACCGGGATTCGAACCCGGGACCTATCGAGTCGGCGACAACATTAAACCCGCCGTACAAACCACTCAGCCACGAAGGACGTCATAATGAGCGTTGAAGGTTTATCCTTAATTACTGTTTCAGAGTATGCATACCACTTTATTATGCATAAGGCTAACTAAATCACTCGATTTTATATGATGTTAACAACCTTTATCTCCTACCTTTTAAATATTACACCAGCAGACCCTCTAGCATGACCACGGAAACGGGATATGATAAAGCGATATATCGGCATTAACTGTCAGACTACTTTGGAGTTTGACAGTAGTCTGACAGGTAATATCGATATATCGCTTTATCATATCCCGTTTAAATTCAACAGAACTATTTTGAATACACTTCAACAGAACTATTTTGAATACATTATCCATTGTACTACTATTTTAGAATCATCATCAACCTTTTAATGTCCCAACTGTTGGGGCAAAGGCCGTGCCGTCACCACCACGCGGGCCAAGTTGGGTGTTTGTGCCGTTTTTAATATTTTTAAAAGTGGTCACTCACCATCATGCCACTTTACCAGGTGGCTTGATCAAACAGGCTTGATCAACCTAAAATCCTTCTGTCAAGTGCCAAAATAAAAAGTTCTGCCAAAATGTCTCCCCACACACGCTCCATTAGTAACCGAAAATTTCCGTTCTGTAGAACGATTTTTTTAAGATGCTTACCTCATACTCTGAATGTTGCAGTCTCTCAATCCGGTGACGACCAAGTCTTTTAGTATGACCTTGAGTCCAGGGCTGCTGGCGTCGATGGGCTTCTTCAGGTTCATGGGATCCATTTTTTCCACGCCCAACTCTGGGATCCCGTCGACGAACTTGGTAACCATTGCTTGAGCAGAGCTCTTTATGCAAGCCGCGTCATCCGCCTTACATTTTGTCACATAAGGCACTGTAATTAAAACATTAAATAAATAATCCTACTTAATAACTTAACTTACAAACTCTAAAATGTATAATATCGGTAGGGTAACGCATATTTTATTTCTTTAGTGATCAGATATTTCTTTGGTTGTGAAAAATAGCTTTTTTAAAAATCCCATCAATAAAAGTTGATTTCAACAACATGAATCTTTTACCTGTTCATACTTGAAAATTTTGTCTCTTTGCAAGTACATTATACACATACCCGCTTATTAATAAACAAGGAATAAGCTTAGACTAGTAACGCTGTGTTTTGTTCATGTCAATCAAATGCCATTTATCATTCAATGGGCAGAGACAAAACATGGAGTAACGAATCCAAGCGAAGTCTTCGTTTATAAAAATAAGGGGTATAGTGAGCTTGTATATATAGTACTTTATTTATGTATTCAAGTTAAAGTTAATGAGTGCAAAAAACAAACCACAAACTATATTTTATTGTCCTTTGGATATAGCCATGGGCATTCACGTATTTCTATGCAATATTTATAAAATAATAAATGTGATCAGTAAGAAGACCTTATTTAAATTAACTTTGTTTAACAGTAAAGTCCCTGGCAATTTTACTTAAAAATTATTAAATATTAGTTATAGAAATATTTTTTGCTGCTACCTATGTAAAAATAAATATATTTTAGATACTTTAATTAATTTACTCGCAAAATGTGTGCACCTTAACTGACTAATTTTGTAATTATGAAACCTTAACAATTGTAATTATTATAAATTGATTTAAATAAACCATACCATAAAAAAAAGTTAATAATTCCATAATAGATTTACAAATATGCACTGTTTTAGGATATTTTGTAAATGATTTTAATATTTTTTTATAGGGATATGTACGTTCACTGTTTATAACTGATCTAACTATTTTTTTTAGTTTCTCAGTCAACTCAAAATTCACGGTGTATTATGCAAACACTTTAAAAATACTTATAATAGCAAATCATAACGGGATTCGAAACAACATCTTTCGCTATCCGGGCGGAAGCGGAAGATGCGGGTTCGAATCCCGTCTGAAACATGGCCTAGAAGAATATTTCATAGAAAAATTTTCTTTTACTTTAATAATCTGACAGTTAAATGCTTTAAATTAAATATAATAAAAAATATCAAGCTATCTCAGAGCTCACCTGAAGAACTGCTCCCCAAGTAAATGAAATTCAACAAACAAAATATGAATATTTTTTGATACATTTTAACAAAATTAAATACTAAACGTCCTGTTTGGTCGGTAGACGTGTGCGTTGTAGTTCCTCATTTGGTTCTGTTTACTTTTATAAGGTCAGTAACATCGATATATTATGTTATATCGCACTTATGTATGTGTGTAAAGATAAACATATAGAACTCGTTTAAGCACTATTGAAAACGAGAGAAAAAAATATGAGCCAAGTATGAGTCGAATTTTTAAATGATGGGTTCCTTTTAAGGTTTGATGATAATTAATTTAAAGACAAAAAGAAAGGTACTTGAAAACCAGGAAACTAAAATAAAAAAAATCGAAAGTTAAAAGAAAAAACTTAATCGCGCTTAAGGCCCATTCAAAGAGTGTTTTGTTTAAAATCATATATTAAATGTTGTTTATGCTTTCAGGGTGTTCCCACCCTAACACCTACAACATGATTTACCTGATGCCACCGCAGTCTTAAGATTCCTACCTTGTATCCCCCTTTTTAGTTTTCCTCCTTTACGTAATATCCTAGTAATATCATAAATGCTCAGTGTGTAAGTATATTTGTTACCTAATCAGGCAAAATCAGCTTAACGAATTCTAAAGAACACAGATTGAATGTTTTGCCACCGCAATCTTTATACTCTAACCCTGTATCCCCTTTTCAGTTTTCCTCCTTTTGGTAATATTGTACTAATAAGAGAAATGCGAAGTATGTAAGTATATTTGTTACCCAAACACGCAAAATCGGTTGACGCAGATAGATTTTAAATTAAATTGAATTGTAGGACTTTTTTCATCCCGGAATAATCATAGGTTCCTGTGGGATTCCGAAAAAAAAAATGACTAATGAGTCTGAATAAACTTCAGCAATGTTATTCTGTAAGAACAATCTCACTTTTCACCTCGAAATCCGCAACGTTATATATAGACGTTATATAGACGATATTTCAAATTATTTTTAAATCATACCGGCGAACTCCGCGGTGTAAAGTGAGGAGTCTGTTCTTACGGAATATCGCACTTCAAGACAACCGACCGAAGCGTAGATTTGCCAGAATTTTACACCCCCATTAATGGTTGCCGAGGGATTTTATTAAATTTCAAAGTTCACATGGATGACTTCGTGGGCAAAGTCTAGTGGTGCCAAAAAAAAGTTGTTGAGCTTAGTTCGAATGCATATGGAAGTCAACAAACTGGCCTGGGACTAATGCAAAAATCCCAATTAATTCTGAAACTCATTTCATACACGTTAGGCTTTGATAGGTAAGATTCAGTTTTATATGGAACCAGATTTAAATAACCTGATTGTCAGATACTGATCAAATTGATAAGGATCAAGCTTGCCTTATTCAGTGTCTAGTTCTTGACGTCTAATAATCTGTCCCCAATTTTTTACATAAATAAAAGAAATCGCTTGCGTAATATTATTATGTATTTCACTATACATTTTATAAAAAGACCAAATTTAACGAAAAATTGAATTTCCACTGAAACTTGGCATGTTTTTTACTATGTTTCTTATTTGTTTTTAATTATAATAACATTCGTTTGCCCGAAAATAGATTAAGGTTTAGATTATCTAAGCCTATCCTAAGAAAAATTGAATTTGATAGTTATCTTTCAAAATGCAAATAAGGTATAACCTCAAATAGACGAAATCAAATTTCGTTTGTACTTTATTGTTTCGTTATTTCGGAAAAATAGATTAAGTAGACCTCTTTGTTTGTATGTTCGTGGTGATATCAAAAACTACTGCACGGATTTGAACATATGGTTTTCATGTTCAGTTACATAGTAGTATTATTATTTTAAGCATTGATAAATAAATTTATAGATAAATCCAGTCCGGAAATTTTTCACTTCAACTTTGATAATGTACTTATATTGCATGCCCGAAAGCAAAAACTACTTACTGCTTTTATATGCCCAAAACATGCGCAGTCGGGTCACTAGTTAAATATTTTATAATTTATTCCTTATTGTATCGTATCGTACTGTTTGTATAGTACTGCAAATTATACTATACAAACGATAAGTATCGTTTTGTATTGGCACTACTCGTTAAAGTAAGAAGCTTTTCTTTCTATGAAATTGTTGATCGAAGATGAAGAACACACCGCAACACAGCAACATTTATAGATAACCACTTGATTAGTATCTGATTCTTATAACTCCGTAAGCAAGATTTTGAGTAGGGCTTCCGTGCGAACTATAGATCTATCTATCTACATACCGCGCTGTGTCCCGACAGAAAATTACTCTTACTTATTTAATATTAATATGTAAGTGAGTACAAAACTCATCATTAGACTAGAAAGAAATATTTTATATATTTACATTACTATGTATAATTGAAATGAAGTATTTTGTTTATATTTTTTATTGTTTATTTGGAAGACACGTGTGAAAAGAACAGTTCAAACAAATTTATAAAGGCGGCTGTCAAAGTTAGTCTGAAGAAAACTTAACAAGAAAATAACCAGTCAATTCAGGTATCAGACAGGACCAAGCCGATTTTTTTTTAGTTAAATTTTCTTTCCATTATCCATCTATCAGTTTAATGCTAAAATAATAGTATGATAAATAAATTGACAATTTACTCCACCAAAAAAACAGAAAACATACAAAAACAATTCTTCTATTGAAATGTCAAAGAACCAAAAGCTAGGACAAAACTAATAGCATCTACTATCTGGTTAGACCAGTAAGTACAGTTCTGCGGTGCTTAAGTTTAAACACACAAAGAAAATAAAATACAAAACCCTCACTCAGTGTTAACCAGAAGGCAAACAGATTACCCAATTATGAATAAACTTAGATTAAGTACGCACATTTCCAAGAAAATTCACCATAAAGATTTATGTTCATATTTTTTCCTGTTAACATTTAAACATCAAGTGTTTATGATACAAGCACGACAAACGTTATTATTATATTAAGGGAAATAAACAAGACTTTAGATTAATTGAAGTGTCTTTGTTGTGTTGACTTTTTTTGTTAAACAAAATAAAATCAATATTTTAAACAGCGCCAGCGTCAAATACAATCGTCGACAACTTCAGGTTTTTTCGTATGCCCATAAATAGTAGTTGTTCGGACAATTAACCTGTAGTTTTGAAGGGACTTAAAAAAACTAAAGATAATATCTCCAATAGGGCATTGACCTTACAGACGGCCAATTTCAATAATCAATTTCCAGTTACAGGTAACCTTATTCACGAGGAAGGACGAGTTTGATGGCGTAGTGCGTAAGATTGTTCGTTCTGCGATAGGGTTACTAACTTGTTACTTGTTGTGGGCCCCCTTTTACGCACGTAGACTCCATAGTTGGTCCATTGTGGGTGCAGGGTTGATTGGGATAGCTAGCCCAGCTCCTTCCAGAGTCTCCTGGAACTCTTACGGGCTTCTAGGCGCGTCCTCGGCATCCCAAGGATTGATGCTAGGTGTTCTGCCACTCTCATGCATTCCAGGATCACATGAGCGGTTGTTTCATCTGCTTCCAGACATCCTCTGCACAGAGAACTATCTGTAACACGTATGGTTAGTAAATGCTTATTTATCAGCCATGCCCTGTTATAGTGCCTAACATTACCTGCAATAGGGTTGTAAAATTACCGTCACGGTATACAACCATTCCATTCCATTTTAATCAACTGGCCATTTTGACTTCTGATCGTGATTTATGATCACTTAATTCAGTAAGGTCAGGTGCTTTTTATGTTTAAAGGGTGGTAAACAAGCATAAGCGGCCATCATAGCCTAAAGACGTTTGTGACACAAAAAATATCACTCGCGCCGTTGCCTACTCTGACCAAATAACCTGCCCATTGCCTTCCCCCTCAGGTTCGAGTGGTCTAGAGGTTCCAGACAGAGAGGGGTCTCTCACCGTGGGGAGATGCCATCCGCCTGGAATACATCTTGAGGCACTCGCCAATTCTCGGCTTGAGGTCCCCTTAGGATCTCGCCGTCCCCAAACCCAGTGACGCTGTAAAGGTCATCTGCGACCAACGCTACACACTCAAAAAGGTGTATGCCACACACTCAAAAAAAACCCTTTGCCTTGTAGCCCTGGAACCATACTCACTTTCAGAAACAAAACACCACCAAAAGGTAGTGTTATTTTACTGTGGTCTTCTGTAAGGTGGAGGCTGCTTCCCCAGCCGGGCGCTCCAATTCGAGCGAAAAATCCGCTATGCCCCTACCTCTCATATTAGGAACCCAATAAAAGTCACTTTGATAAATATCAACTAACAAAAAATAATAATATCTGGCTATTTTTATAGTTCGTTTTACTACATTATTGGCAGTGCCTGCCGTCTTTGACTTATTGGAGGCCCTGGGCATATTAGGATAATGGGGCCCCTATGACGTTTGGTGACTTAACAGGAACTAGGGACTTTGTATTTGATCTGAGGGGCCCTGGGCACTTGCCCAAAGTTCCGACTAGGAAAAGACGGGTCTGCTTATAGTACAGTCAATCTGTCGAAAAAAATATCGTTTCAGTGAAAAAAAAAACCTAAAGGGTAAATCTTGTTTTTTCTGTCAAATGACGTCAGTAAGCCACCTTGGCGATGGGCATGTTCAACTCGTAGGCGTTTTTTGAAAAACTAAAAAAAACCGTCAAAAATTTTTTGAAACGCATTTTTCTTGTTTTGTATGCATTTTAGAAACTTTTTTTTCGAACATAATTGTAGAGAGCGTTGAGTACTACAATTTATGTCATTGTTGCAATCTCGTACAACAAAAAATGCGCATCGGCATTTTGTATGGAATACGATATCGTTTATATTATCAGTCTCGTTGATGACGATTCTTATGTTTAGCTTTAGTTCTTCGACAGTTCTTGAATTCTTCGTATTCACCAGTGATTTTTCATAATCCCAAAATAAAAATAATCAAGAGACATTATATTACGTGATCTTAGAGACCATATCTTACCCCTGAATATTGAGATCGGATCTCGTTGAATTTCTCTTTCCAATTAATTTACTATTTCTCTGGCAATATGACAGGTGACGCTACCTTACTGAAACCAAATGTCTATCAGATAAATTGCGAACAAAA